ATGTTCATCCTGAAGTGGTGCTGTTCACCGGCGCGTGGAGCCCATAGACTCTATGGGTGTGCGTCTCGTTTCAAGAAAGTCATGTGACCGATCCAGGAGTCGTTTCTAACTGACTGACTCACTAAACTGTGTTTCAAAACTTATCTGTCAACATGATGCATCTGCTGAAAAAAAATTGTCTCATCTTTTGCGGTTTATTATTAAAATGATCAAGAATTTTGGAGCAGCCTAAAAGGAATAGGAACGTTTCAGCCGTTGCCATTTTTAATTTTCTGGTTGTGTTTTAGTTTTCCTCTCAGTAATCACTCAACTTATCTGAATAAAACTTAATTTCAAATTTACTCTTTAGTTTATTTACTGTTTTTACTGTAATTATTGTTTTAAAAATATGATTTCAAATCCTAGTCCACAAGCATCCTCATTCACATTTTCCCCTAAATTATCACCTTATGATAGGTTATATGTTCACATTATTTATTGGCTGCATCTAAAAATATCAAAGATATTTTCAATTTAAATATAGATATGAAACAATACCATATAACCTAAAAAAACTTAAATTATATCATTGTACTACAAGGTAATCAAATCAGTTTAGTCTTTTAGATAAGCTGCATGTCGTGCCTTTAAATGTCCAGCAGGTGTCAGTATTCTGTCAGACAGCATCAATACAGTTTGGAAATTAAAAGCTTCCAGCTGCCTCATTAACTCATCACTAGGGTCTGGTTTCTTTATTCTGGTATTGCTCAGTCCAGAAAAATATAGTTTGCTTCCTGGAATAGTTTTTTTTTTTGTTTATTTTATCAGCAAAGGGAAAAATCTAATAAAAAGTTGTTTATTAGTTACAGTGATATGCAGATGAGTTATAACCCTTTAACTACTGTATAAAGTTGTTACCCCCTAACAAAGCTTTAAATCTGATCCCACAAGAGCCAGAATTAGTTTTCAGTGGAAAATTTCCTCTTTGAAAGGTAACCTTGTGAAGCCAATCCCCTGCTAAAGTAATGCAGTAGATCCGCAGCAGGATGGCTCCAGCCTGTCGTGCCAAACGAGTTATCCCCGACAGAATTTGTATCCCCTGCGTCGGGAGCGCGCATTCAGCTCCGCCTCATTACCAACACATTAGGCGTGGAAATAAAGATATTTTATTTTCCTTAACGAAATATAAGAAGAAAAAAACTTTTGCAAATGTGATTTACACCCACAAAAATAAAAGACTAAAATAACAGTGTGTTGGTGATTTAAAACATACATTGTTCTCATGACACTGAAATACATGATCCTCGTCACATTACAAATTTGCAAAAACATTGTGCAATTAAACATACACATAAACTGTAGTATAGCTCTGACCTATTCTTAAAATACTCCATCCCAAGATCGCTTATAGGACTTTGTCTCTCGCCATAGTTATTAATTATGCAAATTAGGTGACGTATTAGCTGAATGTTTCGCTAGCTGACAGTGCACATTTTCGAAGTGGCTTGAAAAATCTATACATCGACAAAAATGAATCCAGCAGAGTATGCAACAATTGTGACATATAAACTCAATGGAGTTTACCCAGCTCTTTTAAACAAGAGAGAAAAATTACTTTTGCGACGAAAAGCTGCAATTTACAGCATTGAAGGTAGAGACATCTTTTCGTAATATAACAGCGTTGATGCTGAAAAAAGAGTAATTACTTTTGGTCTTTTGAGAGCAGTTTATTTTAAAAAAAGAAACTATACATTTCAGTCATAAAAAGAACGTTTACATTATTTTACTTATTTTTCTGCATTGTGAGGAGTGTCAGGATTTCATATCACAACTTTCCAAAGTTTACATAAGGCAGGACTCTATAATTAAATTAGGTTTTTGGTCACTATATCTACAGAAGTTTATATGCTTTTGTGTCTACATTCATATTAAACATGATGCATGGATTTCAATTCAATTCAATTCAATTTTATTTATATAGCGCCAATTCATGAAACATGTCATCTCAAGGCACTTTACCAAATCAAAATCAATCAGATTATACAGATTAGGTCAGATCATACAGATTGGTCAAAAAAGCATTCTGCCCTGCAGCGGTTTACTGGAACACACCGGGGCCCACCAGCCCTTAGGTTCTGCTAAGCACCTGGTTTGCTGCATCTCTGCACAGGCGGCCCTCCGCTGCCTCAACACCGCAGCTCCGCTGGAAAAGCCCCGAACCTCCGACCTCTGGATGGCGCCGCTGACAGGCGACACTTTCAGGCCCCTCAACCCAAACAGGAGACGGCCGAACTTGTTGGAGTACATCTCACAGAACCCGTCAGCTGTAGCTCTGCTGGGCTTTCTTTTTCTTCTTGGATTTATTGGTGGTTGGCAACAAACTTTTAGTAGCATTACCGCCACTTACTGGTACGGAGTGTGGTTGATGATGGTGCTCTTCTTCTCCTTTTTTTTTTTTTTTATAACTTTATTTGGAACAGTAAGAATGACAAACTCAGTATAATAAAGCGCAACATATAGTATTAGTCAATCATACCTCCTAACACTTTTCTTATTTTTTTTTTCTTTCAAGTTGCGAGGTAAACAGATGTTAAGTTTATGCAATACACTTCAGAGAGAAAATCGAAAACCAAGGATGTCTATTCTTCTTCTTCTTGTGAGGGTTTATGGTGGCTGGCAAAGTAATTAAAAGTGCATTACCGCCACCAACTGATAAGGAGTTAAACAAGGAAACAGGAAACAAGACTCACCGCCAGAAAAAAATAAAATAATATTTTCCTAACAGTTTAACTTAACCCAACATAATAAATACTTAATCACATTCGGCCTCATAATTTCTAATTTAACAAACTTTTAGTAACATTACCGCCACTTACTGGTATGGAGTGTGATTCGGTTCATGATGGTCTATCTAATATACATGTAATACAAATATATAAATTCTAAGCAAAAAAAAAAAAAAACTATATATATATATATTTATGTATATATATATTCAAAATGTTATATATATATATATATATATATATATATATAGAGAGAGAGAGAGAGAGAGAGAGAGAGACTTAGATTTATTTTGTCATTTTATATACACAAGTGTAAATAAAAAGAAATTTCTTTTCTTTTTTAAGTGCAGCTTGGATAAGGTAAGCAGCAGTGAAAAAAACAAAATAACATTGCGATATAAAGTCATTATACTAGTTATGAAATGTGCATCAGGGTTTAGGGTGGTGGGTGCTGTAGATGAAGTTGCTCATCAGTTGTCGTTGAGCTGCTGCCTCCAGCTCCTGAAGCACTCACTTGTGCCTCAGGGGAGGAAGAGGACGACGCTGTGAGGATAGTAGCTCCCTGGGTTAAAGAGGCTGATGTGGTTGAAGCAGCAATGGTGGCAATTTTTTTACCTTTATAGTTTTACTCAAATATTTTATGACTGAGGTTTTGTTATTTTATTCTCTGCAGTAGCTATTAAGATGGGATCCCCGGTTAGACCAGGAGTCTGGAGCTGCTAAGATGAGAGCAGCTCCACGGGTCATACATCAAACTAGTGGCTTTTTAAAATTATTTTATTTGTTTTTTGATTCCCCCACTTGGGAAAGTACTTCATTAATTGATCAAATTTGGCCCTGTGTACACTTTCCTGCCCCCCAAAAAGTTGGTCAGCTGCAGGAAGCATGAAGTGCTCTAAAACTTCCTGGTATGTGGCTGCGTTGACCCTGGACCTCAGAAAACACAATGGACCAACACCAGCAGATGACATGGCACCCCAAACCATCACTGACTGTGGAAACTTTACACTGGACTTCAAGCAACGTGGATGAAGTGCCTCTCTTCTTTTCCTCCAGACTCTGGGACCTTGATTTCCAAAGGAAATGCAAAATTTACTTTCATCAGAGAACATGACTTTGGACCACTCACCAGCAGTCCAGTCCTGTTCTCTTTAGACGCGTCTGTGGTTCAAGAGTGGCTTGACACAAGGAATGCGACAGCAGAAACCCATGTCTTTCATACGTCTGTGTGTGGTGGTTCTTGAAGCACTCACTCCAGCTGCAGTCCACTCTTTGTGAATCTCCCCCACATTTTTGAATGGGTTTTGTTTCACAATCCTCTCCAGGGTGCGGTTATCTCTCTTGCTTGTACACTTTTTTCGACCACATCTTTTCCTTCCCTTCGCCTCTCTATTAATGTGCTTGGACACTGAGCTCTGTGAACAGCCAGCCTCTTTAGCGATGACCTTTTGTGTCTTGCCCTCCTTGTGCAAGGTGTCGATGGTCGTCTTTTGGACAACTGTCAAGTCAGCAGTCTTCCCCATGATTGTGTAGCCTATAGAACTAGACTGAAAGACCATTTAAAGGCTTTTGCAGGTGGTTTGAGTTAATTAGCTGATTAGAGTGTGGCACCAGGGGCCATCAATTTTGAACCTTTTCACAATATTCTAATTTTCTGATATGATGAATTTGAGATTTTCATTTGTTGTCATTTGTAATCATCAAAATTAAACAAAATAAACATCTGAAATATATGAGTTTGTATGTAATGTATGAATATAATATACAAGTTTCACTTTTTAAATGGAATTACTGAAATCAATCTACTTTTTCATGATATTCTAATTTTATGACCAGCACCTGTAAACTACATTTACCTTCATATAGGATGTTTTTTTCTCTTATCTTCAGTACTGTTCTCCTTAAAACCTGACTGTTTCCTCTGCACGCCCAAATTATCTTACTTTTAGGACAAATATTCATTCTGTTGGCAGATAATATTAACCTACTTACATAAAGTTAAAAAACACTTATTTCAGAAAAGTTTTTTCTTATATTTACATCAGCTTTTGCAGTGTTTTAAAGTTCAGCCTAATAAATTCTACGTCTTATTTTACACCAGAATTATTTTTGATTTTAACTTTTCACAGCCAACAAGCTGAACTTCACTGACCACCATCCAATCACATCCCTAATAATCCTTAAAGTAAAAAGCTAAACCTTGATCCTGCTTTAAAAAAAAGCTATGAAATAAAATTTAAGACAAAACGAGGAAGAAACGGCTTTATTGGACATCATACAACAGTGTGACGGGAAAAGTTTGTTTTTAAAATGATACAAGTTAATGTTTTAGCTGATTTAACTGTGTAATGTTTTGCTCATCAGTCACGCTTAAAAAAAAACAACCACAGCATATTTACAATAAAAGAAATGAATGAGGGGGGTGTTCACCTACACAACTGCCTCTATAATGAGACAAGCCTGCTCAACTCATGGAATTTTAAGTGGTTAAATACACAGATCGGCGTGTCCGCTGCGCTCCTCAGCGTTTGCTTCTACGCGACGGGGATGTCGACCTGGAAGAGAGGCGGATGGCGACGCATTAATTAATATTTACTAATTATAACTCGCACTACAGCTAACAGACAGATTCTCTCTTAGGAAACTAACGTTTGCCATGTGCAAAGCAACAAACAGATGAGGCTTAAAGGCAGAAACGGTCCAAGTTTCACTGAGGTTTGACAGATTAAGCCGTCATGAGCTCTGAATGGTTTTAGAGCGGATTTTAAAGCTCAGCACATTTATTCTGACAGTCCACATTTCTCTGAAAATGCTAATTAAAGTGAGACAAACAATAAACACAGTAAGAAGAGGGAATAAAAAACGAATACTACCTTGATCGTGACTTAGACTTGTGTTTGCGGCTTGCCTTCTTACCAGACTTGTGAGGTTTTTCCACCGACCTTGACCGGCTACGTTTGGATTTCTTGGATTTTTTTTCCTTGCTAACTTCGGGGCTGGGGGATCTACTGGAGTCGGAGTCTGAGCGCCTCTTGCTAGCCTTGCCGGAGCCCTTTTTGGAGCCTTTGCTATCTTGCCGGGAGCGCTTGTCGTTCTGCGAGTTTGTTAAGGAGTCGCTCTCCCTCCTTTTCTTTGCTTTGTCGTTCTCCTCCGTAGCAGAGCTTCCTTTTTCCTTCTCCTTGTCTTTAGATCTAGGTTTCTCTTTCTTTCTGTCGCCGTCTTTCTCTCTATCCTTGTCTTTATCCTTCTTTTTCTTATCTTTTTCATGGCTTCGGCTTCTGTCTCTCCTCCTCTCCCTGTCTCTGCTGGAGGCCTTTTGTTTGTGTTTACTGCTCCGGCTGTGACTGCTGTCCCTGCGCTCCCGGCTCCTCTTCCTCTCCTTATCCCTCCCTCTGTCTCTGCTGCGACTGCGGCTGTCTCTGCCCTTACCCCTGCCTCTATCCCTGGATCGAGATCTACTCCTGCGGCTCCTGTGTTCCCTGGAGACGCTGCGCTCCCTCTTGTGCCGACCCGATCGCTCTGCGCTGCTCCTCCTCCTGTCCCTCCCTTTCTCGCTACGGTGCCTGTGGGAGCTATGGCTCCGGCTGCGCCGCCGGGCTTTACGGGACGAGGAGCGACTGCGCCTCCTCTTCCTTTGCGGTGAAGAGGAGCGAGAGGAGCTACGAGAAGATGCTGAGGAAGACGAGGAGGTAGAGGAGGAGTGGGAGCTGCTGCGGCTAGAGGAGGAGTGGGAGCTGCTACTGCGTCCATTGGCCGGGGATTCGCTGCCGCCTCGCCTCGGCGGCTCCTTCCCTCTGCCTGGATGCTTCCCTTCGTCGCTGCGGGACCCACGCCTGTCTACCAAGGACTCTTGCTCCCTGTCGTTTACTTCCTGCTTATGTACATTTTCTAACTGACCCTCCTTGTATTCCTCCTTTTCTCTGCTTAATCTCTCCTTCGACACCTCCTCTGTAAAAAAAACAAAAAAAACACACTGTAAGGAAGACCTTTAGGTTTTATGAGGCTCTAGCAAATGGCTTTTACTCAGTCCCTTTTTTTACATATAAAAAGTGTTTATATAACCTCCTTTAACTTTCAGGTTTTATTTCTGTATGGCTCTACTGGTTATTAAAAGTGAAAAATTAAATCTGCCCTGGAAACACGTTTAAAAGCTTCTGGGATTCCTCATTGATCAGTTTTGGGGTTCATGGCTGTTTACTTTATAAATGTGGCCTTTGTGCAGACGGAAGATTGGTCAAAAACTGAACTAAAGCCCTAGCTGTAGTTTGGTTCAGGAAGTTAATCCTCTCATCAGTTCAGTTAATGCTCTAAAATCAACCAAATCAGCTTTATATATTCAGGGTTTTAAATTTCAGAGCTCTTCTTAGAAGCAACCTGGTTTAACACTTTATTATCATTAATAAAGATCTACAGAAATCAGCTCCTTTAAAGCTCTGTACTCTGGTTGATGCCAAACTTGCCTTCAGAGTTTTAAACTGTTAACAAGTGTGAAGCTGGAAATCCAAATATAAAGGTTGTGCAATTTGGTTCTAAAATCATAACAGCTTTTTTTTTTTTTTTACTCTAAGTGTGATTTTATCTAGTTTCCTCCTCATTAATCAAAAAACTAACATCTTTCTAAAAATCTATTTGTTAACAGAGCTAACTAATTGAAGACAACAGCTGGTTGAGTATCAGTCAGATAGCAGCTAGCAAACGCTAGTTTTCATGGACTAAAATGCTCTTTAATTTCCAGATTTCTCTATTTGGTGGACTTGACTGCTTTATGAAAACAGTTTAGAACCAGCTCAGATACACAGATCCACACACTAGCTGTGACTCTCCCTTCACTTCACTTTAAGCTCATTACTGCCACCTAAAGGGCTGCTCATTAATCGTCAAGCCCAACTTCTATTTGCTTCACACTTTTCTAGACCTGGAAAATCCTGAAATCCAACTTCCGTATGTAATCAAACCAAACTGGAAGCCTGTCTAGAAAAAAAGCTGCAACTCATTATGTCAGAAGTTTAAGTGTCCAGCTATACTATTGGATTAGGTTTTTTTCCTTTTTATTGGGTTTTTATGGGTTTCTTTAAACTAAAAAAGGTTTGTACGGTTAGGATAAAAATACATTTATTGTACTTGTATTTATTTAAGTATACATGTATTTTTTGCACTTTAGAAAATCTAGGAAAGCTTTATTCTTATTTTGATGTTTTGTGATCAAGTGTCACTGATGTAACAACTACCCCTCTCTGAAGATACACCCCTCTGGCGGTGCTTTATGCTAGCACTGTAGCTGCTATTGGCTAGGCTGCCTGTCACTCAGGCTGGATTCAGCCTTCTTTTAGTCGAGAACAGAGATTCTAATTTTTGGGATCCATCTTGTGTCACAAGCTTTTCCAGCCGCGGGACACTGCCAAGAGTCATTCATAAACAATGGAGTTGACTGAGAAAATTCGCCCATCACATTTCAAGTCAGATGTTTGGATGCATTTTGGCTTTAAAAACAAAGAAGGTAAAAACGGAATTGATAGGACGCACTTAATTTGCAAAAGGGGAAATGTCCTATATTTGAATGTTTTCATTTCATTGGTTTAAAGGACCACTGAGGCAATGTAAACGGCGCTGATTATCCTTATTACAAGTTTTATAAATCCTAAGCTCTTTTTGTCCAGTAATAGTAATTTGTCTGCAGTGTTTGTGTTCATTGCATTACTTCCAAAAGAAGTTTCAATAAATACAGCTATGTAGGAATTCAGTTGCTTTCAGTTATGTATCAATTGAAGACACTATCCAGCTCAAACACAGCCAGTCAGCCACTGGTAATGGCTGAATAATTTTAACAGTGTTCAGTGAAAATATGGCAATAATCACGATGCATCGCATTGTGGCATGTGAATCGTGATTTTAATCGAATCATGACTTCTTTGGCAATACCCACCCTTAACTTGGTTGGTGATTAATAACTTAGCCGATAGCCATAGTCTAAATTTTTGAATTGGTGAAAGAAAACTGGATGTTTAACAGCCGGATTCAGGAGTTCAACTTTTTATGTAAGATGATAAAAACCCTGGTAAGTAAGCAAATAACAGTTCTAATCATTCAACTGATAATTAGTTTTACCCTTGATTTGAACTACCTATGAATTAGCTATAAATTCCAAGTTCTAATTAATTAAAATATTCATAATCTAATAGTAAACTCACACAACAGATGTAAGACAGAAATAAAATAAAGTATTCTTAACGTTCTGTTTAAATGAATGAACCTGTGACCTACCACGGGCCAGCTCTTGTGCTTGTTTTTCCTGCATTTCCTGCTCTTTGCGCCGGAAGGCATCCTGCTTCACTCGGATGCGGTGATGCAGCTCTTCATCGTCTGTGTCGGAGGAGTCGGATCCTCGGGGACTGCGAGCCTCATCATCCTCACTTTCGTCTGAGCCATAGTCACCAATCCCGCCTGCCACAACAGAGCCCCCCCACATCGTTCATTGTTGGAAAGAAACGAGACGCATTCCCACTCAAACACATGAATCCCATGAAAGGCACTTAATCCTACAGACATCTGTTTATTTCACCTATAGCCCTTTTATGACGGATTATGTGTGTAGTTCTGCAGTCTCTAAAGCATGCTTTTTTTAACATTCAAATCCGGCTTAAATCTAACAACTAAAGTATTTAGCTATCATATCTTAAATAGTTTTGTTATTTTAAGTTTCGTCCGGTCTAACACCGTACCATCAATCATTCCCACTCCCCCCCAGGGACAGAAAAAGGGATACTCACTGAGACCAGTCAGAGAAGCCAGTGCACTTGACTGTGCCAGCTGTTTTGCAGGAGCTTTGATTCACATCAACAACAGGAACAACATGTTAAAAAACATACTGCCATTGTCTCTAAGGCAAGAGAGCTGCTAGAGAAGGGGCCACAGATTAAGGACTAGTCACAAGAGCTGCCGTCGGTAACAAGAGATTTAAAAAAAAAAATGAATAGAAAAAGAAAATAAAAATAGAGAAAAAAAAGAGAGGGTTAACAAACACAATCCAAGTCAAACAGTTCGGTCAGCAGGGAAAGAACTAATCTGTACAGTAACTCCAATAGATGATGTCACTTCCTCCATCTCTAGGTGAATTCAGTGACGACTCAGACTTTAGGCGTTCAGCAGGACAATTTACAGCAACATAAACAGATTTCTAAATAGAATTGATCAGAGATCAGATCTTTGCTGGAGCATTAGCAGAGAATGGTTGAACAATGCACATCAGACTAACTCCATATGTCCTTCAATCAGCTTTCTAACATCAACAGATTACTGTAAACATGAAATTTACTCTGTAGACGGTGTGTCTGAAAAGCAGAGGTGGTGTAAGGGGGTTAGAGGGGCGAGCTGACCTCGGGTGGCTTTTCTGTGGGCGTCTCTGGCAACATGCAGGATCTCTTCATTGGTGACCGTCAGGAGGATCTCTGTCAGCAGAGTTTTAGTCATGCCCATCTAAGAAAGGGAAGCAGAGACACGTTAATATCTAGAAGGCTGCGTCCAGAGCTGACCTGAAGTGAAACTGACCAGCAGCTCTTCCTTTAACTCATCCGTTAGTTCTGGTTCGCTGTCGTCAGCGGCTGGAGACGGGCTCCGGGTGGAAAACTCTCTCTTGATAGTCACTTTCTCTTCGTTCTCATGTTCATCGTTGCCTTCATCATCGCTGTCCTGATTTAAATCATTAGATAATCGTTCTTTATTGACACACTACAAAAACAATCTAGAAATAAGTCAAAATGTCTTAAATTAAGTGTATTTAATCCTAATTTGAGGATGTAAATAAGATCTGCCAAAGGAATGAGCATTTTTACTCAAAATAAGATAATTTGATAATATGCACTTGAAATAAGACAATGGAGTTGTTGTTTTTTTTTTATTTTAAATATAAATTGTCTTGTTCCATTGCGCTCTAAGAAAAATTGACTTATCTAGATTTCAAATTTTTCCAGTGCATTCCTCTATGCATTCCGACATAGAAGAATCCAAAAGAGACACTTACGAATTTACTCTTGCGGGGCAGACGAGGCCCGTCTCCTTCCACGTTAGGCTCCTGTTCTTTCCTGTCCTCCTTTTTCCTCTCCGCTCGCTCTTTTTCCATTCGCTCCCGCTCCAGCTTCTTCTGCTTCTCCCTGTCCATCTTCTCCAGACCCTCTCGGATCCACGCTGGCAGCGTGCGCCGCTTCACTGCGTCTAAATGCAATTCAACATCAATGATGCAGGCTTTTCATTCTTCACCAATGCCTCTAAACTACAACAGTGAATTGTGAATATTTACAGCAACTGATTTTCTTTTAGCATATTTTCATTTTCAGCTGAAAATGAAAACAAAAGGGAAATCCTGTTTAGAAATGAAAAACATTTCCTATCAACTAAAACAACATTCCTGTAATCTTGTATAAATTACATGTAGGATTGTAATGGTGCTTTGTTACAGTTCACACCTTAAAATGCACATGCCTTCCCATCACCTCCAACCAGGTTCTCCTTCCTTCCAACCTTTAATGGCAGGTCTTTACTGCATCCTATCAGCACATCTTCCTTTATAAGCTACTCATCTTTGCAAGCCATGAGCCTTTTGGTTGCTCATCCCTTTGTGGATGGTCTGGAACTAAAACCTGCCATGAGCGCTTTGCCTAATTTTTCTGCTGTGTTTCTCGCTCCTTGTTCACTAAAGTAATTTAACAACATTTTCTGAGGTCTTGATTTGAAGCTACAGCTGTTCTGAGAATCAATTATAAACAGGAGGATCAATCTGAAGGCAGCTGGCTGCACTGTTTTTCATTTATTGGCATCAGAATAAACAAGGTTTGTATTTCATCAGGTTTGACAGACGACTGACTCACCTAGAGGTGCTACGGGGGCCTCTGGAGGTTTAACGGGAAGCTGGATAGGCGATCGGGGTCGCTCTCTAAACCCGGGCGGTCGGGCATCTCGTCTGTTCTGAGAAGGACCCTGCCAGTAGGGGGGTGTGTGAAATCCTGAGGAGGCTGGAGGGAAGGCTGGAGCTGCACCGTGCTGCGAAAAGACAGAAGAAGCTGAAAATGAAAACCAGGCCTAAAGTATAGGGGGTGTACCGTTTCTTCTGTTACCCAGTGTGGGGACTGCTGCCTTAAAACATGGTATCCACATCATCTCACTGGGATATATAGCCAGATTTACTACTGGCCCTCCTGGAAAGTCAACATTAGCCTTACAGAGATGTATTCCCATTAGCAGGGTTTCAGCAGTACAGCATGCTGCTGCGCTCAAACACGTCACATTATACTGAAGCGCGGTCACTGGTTATGCTTAAAGTTGTCAAAATTACACCAGGATACAGTTGCGAACAGCGCTTTTACCTCGTTATTTGCATAAATATGTATGAAAACATGACGTGCTGGCAATAAGCATGACAGGTAGGGAAGCTTTAGAGAGTTAATGCACTTTATAGTTCTAACATAAACCAGGACGCCTCATTTCAAAGTGCTGCTAGCAGCACTGAATGCTGGATTAGCCTAAAAACAGAAAGCTACATCCCAGTTAGCATCCACTTTTTTAAAACGAAGCGGTAAATAGTGTTACAGCAGGGGTGTCAAACTGGTTCCAGAAAGGGCCGAGTGGCTGCAGGTTTTCTTTCCAACCAAGCAATAGCACACCAGACTCCTATCATTTCATCAAGTGAGTCCAACCTGAACATGATGACATTATGAAATGACTGGAGTCTGGTGTGCTATTGCTTGGTTGGAAAGAAAACCTGCAGCCACTCGGCACTTTCTGGAACCAGTTTGACACCCCTGTGTTACAGCATGTCGGAGCGACATACCCCGTCCTTTTACATCTCTGTTCACTGGAAATCCTAAATGTTTCACATATTCTACTCAGCTTTTTAATCCAGTAACTTAATAGGTTGCCGTTCTGTTAAACATTATAAATAAATAATGTAATATAATGTAGATGTAATATAATGTAAATACAATATAATGTGTAAAGAAAACAGCTTTCTTCATTCAGTCAGTTTTTTTATACATATGCAGGAATAAAGTAAAATATAATGAAGTACTATTTTCTTAATTCAGCATAGAAAGTTCCTCTGATACAAGAGTAAACTCGGGTTTTCAAAACTGATAATTAAAAATTAATAAACTTTAGATTAATCAATAATTTGCATCCCTAGTTATACACACAGAGCAAAAATCTGGAATAAACCTCACAAAGATTCTACACTAAACAGCATCCAATATTATCATAAGCTGAAAAAGTTTAGATTTAAGGCAGCAAACTAAATGTTAACATGATAAGAAATGTTCTGCTTTAGTGTTCCTCAGAAGATCCTCTATGTCATGCATAATAAACTTCCTGACCATAAAAAAAATTTGAATTTCTCCAAGAGATTCCTTTTTCTTATAAGTTGGTAGACTCTGCAAAATGATGCAGAATATCTGCAGTTTGTAGATTTGTTCAAACATGATTATTCCAAACATGCAGTGTCTTCAAAAAGCCAGAAAGGCAGTCAGTGACAGAGTTAGGTGCTCGGGTCCGGCACAGTTCTTGTGGACCGCCTCTTCCTCTGATATCTGGATCTCACACTAAAACCCACAAGCTTCAACATTTCCTACTGTAGCATCTGCATACCTGATAATCAAACTGGTTCATGGCCATGGGGGCCATGGCGTAGCTGTCGGGCTGTGCCCCATACCCATGGCTGTTCTGGGGATAAACCCCGTGGCGGGCTTCAGAGTTGAACTCCACGCTGTCCTGACTGCTGCTGTCCTCATTCGGGGTCACAACATCCATCGGCGCTGAACCTGGAGGGATCCAGGGCTGCTCAGGGGGAGGAGGGGGAGGGGGAGGGGGCTGACCATGTATTCCCCATTCTGTAACGAACATCCACAGAAATGTTTTAAAACTCCTAAATATCCATTTATTTAACCACCTGTGAGCCCATTTTTAGGCAGTTTCTTTATAGAACAGGAAGAGAGGAGAGAAATGAATCTGTATTCAAGATAAATCTTAAATGTAGGCCAGCTGCTCTGCCATCAGAAATGTGCTGAGGTGAATATTTCGCCCATTTCCTCGTGTCCCTCACACTTTAGCGTCTCCAAAAAGTCTCAATAAAACCACAAACCTAATTCTTTACGTTAAAATTCAGACATTTCCTTAAATCAGTCCTAATCCAGGACCTGAAACTCCACTGTGAGACCATGCAACTGTCTGCTCTCTCTGATTTTAGATTTGCATCAACCTCAACAAGTCATGCAAATGGATTTTGCATAATCCAAAAACAAGAAAAAATAACCAACTACAGTACAACGCTTAAACAATCAGCAGCAGTTAGTAGGAAGTGGTTATGTTTTATTGAGATTTAACTGAGTAACATTTTCAAATATAAATACTTATAGGATTAGTTTCACTTGAACAATCTGAACTTCTCAACATTATTCTTTAGTAACGCTATTTGTACTTTAGTAAGATTGTGGGCAATAGTATCCACTGAGGCTGATTTTATTCATCCTTTCTGTTCTTAGACGTCTCCTCAAAACCTGATAAACTCTCTGTATTATACTAATAGCTGCCAACATTTAGTGTATTTTAATTTAATAGTTTGTTGTGAAACATGATTGCTTTGAAGCATGTCTCACAGCTTGAAGTGAAATACTCTTTAAATTAATGTCACCTCCTAGAACGGGTGATTAAAATAGAAGGTAACTTTTGATAGCACTGTATGTTATTTCAGGGTTCCTACAGCACAAGGCAAGTTAAATTCTAGACTTTTTAAGACTTTTTAATGCCACTTTAAATTAAAATTTAAGACCAAATTCACAAGAAATGCAAGAAAAACCCGCTTGCGATAATTTAACCCAAAGGTTTATTTTAACATAAACCACTGCACTAATGTTTCAAATTTTGAAAAGCTTCCCATACAGGAAGAAAGCTAAAAACACACAAATGACGGATATATTTTAATAATTATTTAACTGAATTCACAAACTTTGTTTTAGCAGAGAACAAAACAAATCAGTTTTAAAGCCACAACATAACCAGTGCTAAGTCTTTTTTGCAGCTATTTTTCTTTGTATCGTTTTCTTAGTATGTTTGATTTGGTGATAAGTGGAGGCGTTGCAGAGACGAGAAATACCGGCTGTTTCTCGGTAACTCGATTTTGACGCTTTGTGTTTCGTGCTTCGCATGTGACTCCACTGCCTTAATTCCCATCGTTCCGAGCTTGAATCGCTTCTTGCACAAAATCCACTGAGCCTCATGTATGTTCCCTGGTTTTAGCCATGGAGAAAACCTTGGCTGGAGCCAATTTTTGTTACATTTACACTTGCTCATATTTTCCAGACAAAAACCGGCCACAACAACGCTTTTATTGGTTCCACTATTGGGACGGAACCAATAATGGCAAGCCGTTATTTTTTATATATATATATAAATTAAAAAAAATTGTCAATTTTACCGTTTTATTTAGATTACAAAATAAATCGTAATAAAAATAATCCTATTTATGATGTTTTAAAAATTAAGACCTACGAAAGACTGATTTAAGACATTTTATTACCAATTAAGGCCTTAGTTTTATTTTGAAGAATTCAATGCCTTTTAAGACTTTTTAAGGACCCGCGGGAACCCTGAATTTATTAATAATACATATAATTATTGTAAGATTAGATTTTTAAGCCATATCAGGCCCTCGTCTCCACCTGTAATTTCTCTACAGTGAATGAATAACATCTCATTTTCAGACCAGCTGCATTGATCTCACACTATTTTCCATCCAACTATGCTACTGTAGCATCTAGATTCCAAATAAAGACAGTAGATATCCTCACAGGCAGTACTTTGCATCGTTATAAGATATATACAAAACCTGCTTTATTAGTTTTAGATGTTTTCCTGTTGATTTGTTTTTATTTCCAACTGTTTAATTAATCTGTATAAATAAAAGAATAAACACAATTTCCACCAACCTTCTATCAGTTTGATATTAAAAATCGCGAATGTCTTACAATAACAAATAATGTAATTCTGATATTTTAACATTTATCTGTCTGCTTTCAGTATTTCTAATAAAAAAATAAAAAATAAACAAAACGTGGGTAACCAGTGGGTTACCCCAGAGACGAGGGGTGGGCTTTTCACATGTCGATTAGCAATATTGTGATTCATTTCTTGTCATGATAAGAATTTCCATTTATCATCTAATGGAGAAATTACAACTAATGATGTTTAAAAGCATTTAGAAAACGCCATTCAGGGGTTTGACAAATACAATGAATATGATTAAATACAGTAACTGTGGGATGTTACGTGGTGTAATTGACACTTCTTTATGTAAGTGATGTCCAAAGGAATCTAACTTTAAATGTTATTAGCAGTATTTGTGACCACTGATTGCTGCAGCATGCAGCCACAGCTATACAGTTACCTAAAGCCAGGCGTACACTGTGCGATTTTCTAGTCGTGCGAGAATCTTTCGATCGGCCTCACTTTCAGCCTGGCTGTGCATGATGTAGTGTACAGGGGGTAACGAGGGGAGATCAGCCTATCACGATCAACTCCCGATAAGGAATCGTGAGGTCGGGAGAAAATAAAAAAAACAAGTTTGATTTTGTCCCGACGGTCGTGGGCAAATGGCTCAGTACACACGCACAAACAAGGATTCTTCTGTAAACACAGCAGCGTGGCAGGGATGCAATGAGTGAAATCCAGTTCTGCCTGTAAAATTGACAGACCGTAGTAGCCACGTTTGCTCAGCCATGTCTTTCTTCCTAATACGTCGTCACCTTTTCTTTTTAGGGCTTTCAGCACAAAATTGCACAAATTGCCAAGGCAGCGAATTTCACTATAGTGAGCTTCGTATTCCCCTTCTATTTGTTTGGCTTCCGGATAGACGAGTCAGAGCAGCTCCATCTCACTGCGGAGCCGAGCCCGACGTGCCTTTTAGCCGTACAGTGTGAGCTGTAGCTGTGTGCAACGATTAAATAAATAAATAAAATAAAAAAAATTGCAATGAAGAGTTTTTTTTGTTGTTTTTTTTATCTTCAATAGTATCAAAATAGTACCACAAAATATTAAGATTTTAAATCCTTATCAGGGCGAGGCAATTAACTGCATTTGTAATATAATCACGATTTAGAGAAACAATATTTCATTCGCAGAAACACTCAACTTGCAGTTAACAAGAGAAGTACAGTAAAAAAATTCCCCTTCCAGGCTTTTATATGGCAGTAATACACTCAAGGTGGGTTTGCCATCACACAGAAGTTAGCAATAAAGCTGTGCTTTTAAAATATAAACTCATAACCCAACGTCAAACTACAGGATTAATTCATACATGCAGTATTTTAAAAATAAAATGTGACTGTAGTGCTTCTTCTAACAAAAAACTGAGTTATTAACTACTACTTTAAATAATCACAACAGAAAGTAAACCAGCTAACGTAAGCCTAGCACTTCTACAAATAACTTCAACTGAATTTAGACATTGGCCGCTTCTCGGTATGTGTAATCGGTACTCGTAAAACATCATCAGCCTCAGCCCCAGTACTGTTCCAATTCACAAGAACAGCAGACAGAGAACAGACAAAGTCCCTGGATGTTGTTCCCGACCCTCCTTCTTTACCCAGCATGCATCAGAGCAAACTTGTCTTGAGATTGACAGCTGTCCCAGCATGCACTGCGGCAGCAGCTTCAATGGAGCGTTCACAGAGCTCAGAGTATTAAGTTAAAGGTTCTTTTCTGTTGTTCAATAAAAGTACGTGTTAAGATAATTTGAGGCGAGAATATACTTGCATCACTATATGGCCCATTTACTGATTAAACGCATAATAAATAAATAAAAAAAAACAACAACTCCAAAGTTGAGAGGATCGCGGCAACCAGCGGACCTCAGGGGGTAACAGCCAGGGCTAACCGCAGCCCTCTCTCTGCATAGCCGTGTGCGTGAAGGACCGCTGACTATGATGGTGATTTTTTTTTGTTTTATTTGGCAAAATGTTGAATTGTATTTATTTGACTGTGTTCATTATTATTCCCTCACTAAATGAAAAAAGTAATTATGTATTATTATCTAGAGACTATTAATAACAAGAGGTGACATGGGGCTCTAGACGAGCCGAGCGTGTGGTGACGTCACGAGTATGCTTCTGTTCCATATTTATGCTGTCTGCTCCCGTTCTCCACAAATCCATACTTTCCTGTGTTCTTCTCAAAAAACGGACACGAGTCCGTACTCACGTTCTTGTGAATTGAGAAACTGCCTTTGATTTCAGTTGGATGTGACAAAGCACAGATATCCGGCTAGTAAAGCTTTTCAGCTTTCCGAGTTTCCAAAAAATGCATTGCATATTCTTTTGATATATTTTCTCTAAAAGTCTGGATTAGAGAAAAAAAATCTCGATCAGGATTTCCCCCAAACGTAAAAACTAACATTTAGAGATGGTGAAACCTGTCAGTGTGAGTTAAAAATTAAACCAGATTATAAAATGTCTCCCTGGCAAAATATTTCCGATTCTAACCTTGAGGTTGGAGTTTAAGAGCCCTAAAGTCAAATCAAAACGCTTTATTTTTATGTTACCTGGTTGCCACATCCTTCCAAATGGAGGTTCACCTTGAAAGTTTCCATGATTGGCCGGTGGAGCATTTTCAAGGCCGGGGATGTCCTGCCCATTGGGCTGGATGCTGTGGGGTGGAGGTGGGGGTGGAGGCGGTGGTGGTCCTGTTGACTCTTTCTGTGCTATCCAGGCCTGTGCCAGAGCAGCCCAGTCCACTTGGCCTAAATAAATTAAAATAAATACATTTCACCAGTTAATAATACAACCTTTGCGTCTGAGATTCTTATTTTTCCTAAATAAAGTGAATGCATCTTTCACTAACCTGGATCATGCTGGTGTTGGAAAGACTGCATCCATTGCTGCTGGCTGCTCAGAGGCCACTGGGGCCAAGGCTGTCCTCCCTGGTCCCACATTAGCTGCCCTTCTCCGCAGGAAATGCTGTGATATCAGAACAAGTTATATTTTAATTTAACCAAGACGGCTTCCGCTAATGCAGTTTCCAAACGCCGCTCTCATTCTGGCCAGAAGAGCGTCAAACGTTACCGCTAGTTAACCAGCAAATTAACGTCGGAGATTCAAGCTCAGCACAGAAGATCTGCTCCGATAGTTGTTGATATGGACGCTGTGGAGCAATGGAGTCTTGTGCAATGTTGACGTCTGAGACCAAAATAAATGTTTGGGCAGTTGAAATGCTAACCTAAGACAGCCTCGAACACAGAGCTAAGGAAGCTAACGAGAGCTAACGTTAGCTAAATCTTAAAGCTCGTAGAGGAACCGTTTTTTTTAAGAATGCAACACAATGTCACCGCTGTAGTTCATACAACAGTTTTTTTTAAAGTGTATCTAAAATTTAACATGACTGCTTTTTAGTGTGTGACACAATTCCCACCTTTTCCAGACAGTTTTTCTCTCCGGAGAGATGCGGCTCAAATCAAAATGGCTCCAGCTAGTGAGGAGCTGCTCAGAGGAGGCGGAGTTCTGTTGCCTTCAGGGATACTGTGATTTTAAAAATTCAAGCTGTAAAAAACGGTAAAGATCGCTGACGCTGCGGTTAAACCGACCGAATTACGATGTAAATTCACCAAATAAAATATTTTTTTCTAGCCTAAATAAATAATACAAAGGCTCAAAATAAAGTTTTTGAAAATTAAACAATGTAAAATATTTATGTATTATCATCTGAAATAATGTAAAACCTCATAAAATCAGAACATAAATACCGGCCTTATAACCTTTCGCCAGTCTAGTAGTGTTTACCTAAGTTTCTACCTTTTCGAAGTGAACAAATAAGTCACATTTCTTTATATTTCACCGTCCCGTTATCCAACTGTCGACGAGCGCCATCAGCACCTAAACGCATCACAGGAACAACCTTATGAGGTTTTTTTTGGACATCAGGGGCGAACCAAAGATGTTTGGGGACCAAACCAGAGGAGAGGGGGACACTTAAAAAAAAAAAAAAAAAAAACTTTACAGACACCACTTTTATTATTATTTTTATTATCTAATGCTTGATTTTACTCATTTTCATATTTGATATCCAATTATTTTTGCTCTTTTTAGACTATAAAACAAATAATTTTTACATGTATTCTTAAAAATCCAAACACTCACTTAAACTAATTATTAAACAAATTATAAATATAATATAGTACTTTTCTTCTACTTTTTTTTATGACTTATTTATGCCATCCATCCATCTTTTTCCACGGCCGGGTCGTGGAAGCAGCAGTCTAAGCAAAGATGCCCAGACTTCCCAATCCACACACTTCCTCAAGCTGTTCTGGGGGGACCCTGAGGCGACACCAGGCCAGCTCAGAGATGTTTCCTAGGCCTTTTCACGAGGCCTCCTCCCAATGGGGACATGCCTGGAACACCTCCTGAGAGAGGCGACCAGGAGGCATCCGGAACAGATGCTCGGCTGGCTCCTTTCGACGTGGAGGAGCAACTACTCAACTCCGAGCTCCTCCCGGGTAACTGAGCTCCTCATCCGATCTTGAAGGGTGCACCCAGCCACCCTGCGAAGAAAACTCATTTCGGCCGCTTGTATTCGTGATCTTGTCCTAATTTATGCCATCATTTAAATTACCTTGTCATTTTGTGAGGGTTTCCCGGGCTCAGAACTACAAATAGATGCTCAAATATTGTTTTGTATTCATAGAATTAAAGGAAAACATGCAAACATGCAGACTTATTAAGCTTTAATAGTTTACTTTAAAATATTTAAGAAAACCATATAAGCTACTTCTCTATAAGTCTTTACGCCTCGTTCATTTACCACTACAGATTAGAACCAGTCATCCACAAAATGAGGAAAATAAAGAACGTTCGGGAAAAAAAACTGTTTTATCAACCTGTCCTGCCCCACCACCAGCCACATTACTTTTGTTTGGCCAGGCAACAGAGGACATAGCTGATGGTAATTTATTAATTCATGGCTGATATTAGACGTATTGCAGCAATCAACGTCTAAGAGATGATTTGGAAATAAAAGGTGTTGCTAAGCACTCCGTTTATATTGAGGATCAATTGAAAAAGCTTCCTGGATGGGAAGCGAAACATCTTCAACCTTGGAAAAAAGACAGTGGATGAAGAACAATCCACTGGACTTGGTTTCCAATTTTGAAGAGGTTTCGCTTCCCTTCCAGGAAGCTTTTTTTAATTCAAAATGCCAGAAATAGTGTTGAGTTCGAGGCTTTATAGATTGGACCAAAACAAAGCCTTGTGTTGGCTTAGAAAACATGCTACCCCTTAGGAATGGGGAGTTGTTTGGGTTCTTTGTGAGCTTGCAATAGGACCAGAATGTTCACATTTTGGACAAAGAAGACAGGTGGTTTGAAAGGAGTGTGAATGAAGCCATTTATTTTAAGAAAGAAAAAACAACCTTAAACAGATGGAGTTGACTCAGCTTTCAAACACCTACAATGTAGCGATAAGGTTTAATCCTTTTGACTATCTTCGCAACCCCTACCCACACACAGGGGAACAGAACATCTTGTCTGTTCAGCCAGGCCAACAATTCCCCCCAACGACCCCCCTTGCAGAGACATAGACAGGTATCGGGTATTACAGAATAACAAAGAACCCGAAAGACTCCCCATTCCTAAGGGGCGGACCCGTTCTTCCGATTTAATGTGAATAATTTCTAAGCTAAAACAAGGCTTTGTTTTGGTCCAGTGTATAAAGCCTCGAACTCAACGCTATTTCTGACATTTTGAATTAAAAAAAGCTTCCTGAATGGAAAACCTGGAAACTAAGTCCAGTGGATTGTTTTTTTAACTTTATTGGAATCAGTTCACTAAATGTTGCACAATTAATTTTTAGTCAAAATGATGACAAACTGAGAGCTTAAGGTTTGTTTCTCAAAGGGGCTTTAAAATATCAATGTGTTAGCTTTGATAAGAAATGATCAGGGGTCTGATCACCATTTTAAAGCAATAGAAATGACCTTTGGCTTTTCTGCTGCTCCAGCTTTACCTTGTGATTCGATTTAGATTAAGCTCTCTTTGGGCTTATCATTTTCATCAAATATGGCATCCTTTTGTTCTGCACTCATTCCTTATTCCAAATCATACAGATATCCAGCAGGATTTTTATTTTTCCATCAATTAAGATCTGATATGTTTTCAAAGGAAGTCCTCTCATTTTTTTTTTGCACCACACATAACAGCAATTGACGATTTAACTTGAATTTTCAATGCATAGATACAAAATCTAAAATATTCACATGCCAACTTTTCATTGCAGGTGTTTTGTTATGTTGGTTGTGAACAGCAGCCTGAGAAGACGACAGCCTGAGGCACGTCCAGTCCAAGTGTGTCAGATGTTTGCACAAGAAAACGTGCTGAGTGCTGGATGTCGGATTCTGTCAACAGTGACAGCGAATTGCATGGTGAGGAAGGCAATTTTAACCTCCTCTGCTGGTAAGAAAGCACTCCTGCAGCACCTCATTACTTTCACTGAAGTGTCTCACAGATAAAGGGGGGGAGGGGCACATTTCATTAAGTGAGATTAAATCACGTCAAACGCCTCAGCAGCGTGTCCTCCAGCTAGAAGCCCTGCTTCCCCTTTTTTAAAAAAATAGAGAAACACATTTCAGGAGGAATTTGCCTTTTTTTATCTGTTGGTGGCCACTTGACAACCGGTCCCCACATTCCAGCTGTGTGACAGGGACGTCACGGCGTGCGAGAGTCAAGAGGACATTTAGGGCGATGCTTTTCGACATTGCCCTTTTCATGATTCCACACCCACCTCCTCTTCACCAGCTCGCGACATGTTCCGAAGCAGTGCTGCTTTGCACCCGTCAGGGCCGGGAACAGGCCAGGATGGGTGGAATATGGCAGGGCAGGATGCACAGTGACAGACCCGACAGAAAGACTAAAAAAACAACATGACAACGGTTTCAAAGCAGGAAACACTAAATCTCTTCTGATCTCTATTCCACATCTGAAATTGAAAAACAATGAAAAAATAAAAGGAGTGCTGCAGAACCGTTGCTGTTCATAAATCTGATTTATTTTGACAAGATGTGTTTTATACTCATTCCAAAACATTCCTTGACTTGATAAGACAACTTTCAGTTTTAACAGCACCATGTCTGCCAGTCCAAACATTAATAAAACGCACACATATGCTTATATTACACTCTGCATACAGTTTATCCCCATCCTGTACAGGCTTTCCTTTTATGGAGGCAGAGGCACTGAATTCATACTTGCTTAAAAAAAACATCTTAAGTCCCAATAGTCTGAATGCTTTTTAAACATTTGAAGCAAATGATTGGCGAGCAAGATTTAAATAAAAAAAGAGGAAAAAAAGTCTGATATCAGGATTAGGTGATCGATTCAAATATTTGATGAATAAATATCTGCTGCTCCTAAAAACAGACAAAACAAAACAACACCATGATGCATTAACTTGTGCGTTAAGATGCAAACACAATGACCTCAGATGTGATTCCATTGATTTAATAAAGGTCATGTCTAAATGCGCAGAGATGCTTGCATTACAAACTCACTACGCATGATAAAATATCTGCTGCTTTTCAAAACTCGTCTTTGGCAAACCCGTTTCATGGTCACATATTTATACATTCTGATGCAATAAAACAAAAGGCTTGTAAAGTAACTGCTGCGCTGCTTTTCAAAGCTGCCATTTGTAGCTATTTGAAAGATTTTGAGAGTAACTTTGCCGTTTTCTCTGAATTGTTTATTTCCTTTTTAGGTTTGTTGTACAGATTTAACATTTTCCAGTTTTACTAATTGAATTCTTTTCAAATTCTGTGACAGACCACCTTATCTTTACTCACAATAATGAGCATTTGTATTGAGCTAGCATGTTTGGATTAAATGCTCGCTCTTGACCAATAAAAATGCTAACGTTCATGCAGACCAATACAACTGATCTCTACTCCACAGGAAAGCCCGCCCTGAGAAGACAATGACAGTGATTTGTAAAACTCAACCGGAAAAAGATATAAAAAATAAATAAAATAAAACAATCTTAGAAAACAGCAAAGTTACTCTTAAGACCTTTTTGATTATGATATTTATGATTAAAAAGTTTCATTTCTGGATTAGATTTTATATATCAAATTTCCATTTAAAGAACATAATCTTTGTCTGCAACAATAATGGAAAAAATTGACCCTAGAGTCCAGAGGCTGTTTTCCGATCAGCAATTCCCCAATACCAGGATTCCAACAAGCAGCCTCAACAATCTTCAGTGTAGAAGTTTTGGAAAGAAGAAAATTAACATCTTTTAAGTATCTGTGACTTTTTATGAGGGGAGGACAAAAGGAGCCTCTAGAGGGAAGGGAATTTAATTTATTTTAACATGGGTTAACTTTTCAACAAAAAACAGAAGATGTTGCCATTTTGTTCAATAAGTCCAAAATGTCTTAGATCATGGTGGATAAAAAAATATCAGCAATATTTCTACTGACTCTTAGTTGCGGCAGATATTTAATTATTCTACAGCATCTGCTGTTTACAGTTAGTCACAATAGCCACACTATTGGCTATAAAAAAATACTTAAGATAGTCTTTTGTCTTTATACTAAATAGTGAAATCCTGATTGACTGCAGCATTCTCTTTCACCGTATTATCGACTTCACACGTCTCACACAGTGAATTTGCCTATGTAAATTATTAATAAGAATAACTGTTAAGCTGTTTCAAGTTTTTTTCAGTTAAATATTTTAGCAGTCCAACATAACTCAAAATGTTTTTTATATATTAAAAGCCAGACATAACTGGAGGAATCTCTTGTGATATGGTCCACCTCTATGCAAATAGATACAAATGATTTATAATCCGTTTTACAGGGAGCTCTGATTTCTACCCTGCAGCAATCTTAATGCAGATAGGTACTTTGGTTTGGTTTTCTACCCATCATATGAATTGGTTAAAATTAGCAGCTCAGAATTTTCTAAAATTGTTGATTGGAAATCAGCCACAGGGTCCCTGATTGGTTCATCTCTAAAAAGCCAATTCTAAATCTTTTCTTCTTCAGTTTGTTTCTTTGCATTTTTAACTGGACTAATTCTAATCCAATGTGAAACATGTGGGGACAAACGCTCACCTCAAAAGAACTATTTCAAGCAACATAAAAAAGATAAATATGAGGTAAAAGAATACGTTGATTAAATATTACTCTCTTTTTTCCTTAGTATTACTGACCAGCCCTCCTAAAAAATAGTAACTCTGACCTTCTGTGTCAACAAAGATCCCCCTTTTATAATATATGAAAACACCAACAGTGGTCTTATGTTTTTTAATATAGACAACCCTACACTTTAGAAGCACAGTTTGGATGCATCACTGGGTGGGTCAGACTGTTAGCTTAGAGGTGGAAACAGTACCGACCTGTTAGATTGAATCAGTTACTATAGCTTCCCTGATATACATAGCACCTTTCAGCTACATTCATCCGTCTTTCACTCCTCCGTTCTCTGACAGGTGTGCGCTCACACACGCATTTTATTGACATCAACAAGTCGAGGCATATTGCAGTTAAGCATGCTTTCAATCTGCAACTAAAGTCGCAGTGGCCAACTCCATCATGCATTTTATACCCTAAGCCAGGAACTCAAACTGAGGCCAATAATAAATATTAAACAGCTTAGGTTTACCGCACATTTCTCTCCTAACCTCTTTCACTTTGAATGCAGTATCTGAAATTAAAATCTGGCTAAAATCCACATAATGTTGGCATTTTTAATTATTTTCTCTTGCATATCTATTGTATCAGAAAATGCCTTTTTATGTTAACCATCCCAGCAAGCAGAGAAATTTCCGCCCCCCACTTTTTTTTTCTTGCCATCAAACAGCTTGAGGGGCTGACAGGATTTTTAGCAAACAATTAATACAAAGAGGTACAGATATTGAGAGGAGTCGCATGGACTGATTTTATTACAGCATTTCCTCATAGAAGAGCAGGTAGGCCTGAGAGCTGAGTACTCGGGACTCTGGTACAGTCTGAACTGTGGTGTCACTGACATACACCCACTGGCTCTGGGAGCTGCTGCAGGCATCTTTTGCACCTAAAAACAAGAAAGAGCGTCAGAATCACGAAGAAATAAAAATCCAATCTGTAATGAGACATTAAAAAAGAAAATAACCTAGAAAATCAAAACAGAATAGGAGAAAAGAACAACCTCAGGCTGATATCTAACAGGTTTTAGTCGAAGTCTAGACCTTTCCATGCTGCTCTTTAAAATTAAGTTTTTATTTATTGAAAGTTATCCAGACTGTCCAGGTCTAATGTTTACCAATAATTACCAGTCAGTGTAAAATAAGAAAGGCAGGGCACTCTGCTGAGATCTTAAGATATTCAACGTGAGAAACAAGGTGTGGACATTTACTCATTGAGTCTGGAAAGGGTCACAAAGTTATTTCTACAGCTCTGAAACTTTGGGGAACCGAAATGAGAGCCATATCATGCAGCTGGAGGAAAAATAAATATGGTGTATGGAACTAAACTGGGGGCATAAAGTTTGTTAAAAAAATTGGAAAATGAAACATTTGGAAACTGAAAGAAACAACAACTGAGAATTGAAACTAGAAACACAATATTTAAAAATTATTTTCAGATTTAATCTTTTTTCTTTTACAGTTTCTGTTTTTTTTTTTTTTTTGTTTCAAGCTAATTGTCCCGTCGTGAAGGGGTGGGGTTTATATTAAATGGGGTGTGGATTAATGATTGAAGGCTTGGGAGCCTGTTGCATTCAGGAAATTTGGGAAATTATGGTAATTAAAAGTTTGGGCAGAATTTTCAGCCTGTTTTTATATATATTTTTTGTTTTTAGTTATTAAAAATGTTTTTCAGATTCAACAATTCCATTTGGTTAAAAAACCTTTTTCTTTAGCCTTCAAATTCAATTTTTGGTTTTAAGTTTTATTTCTTCGGTAAGAAAAAAAAAGAAAACGGATTTTGTTATATTTTGCTTTTTTTAAAGATGTTTTTCATATTTCCTTCTTTTTTTTCTTAAGAAATTTAAATGAAAAAAGTTCATGTTTTTTTTTTAAGTTCTGCGTTTTAGATCCGAGTTTTAAGATTTGCATTCTTCTCTATTTGGCTTTTAAAGATTAAATTCTCTTCACTTCAATCTTAAAAAAAGAATAAAAAATGAAAAGAGTTGGGAAAATGTGTAATAAATAAATACATTTCTGGATTTATTTAGTATTTTAAATTTTTTTATTTGTAAAAACATGTTCTTTGCTTGCAACAATTATCAAACAAAATTCACTCCATAAAGAGGCAATTACTTTAAAAGAGAACTATATATGGATTATTAGGAAACCAGTAACTGATAATAAACTTACTTGATTCATTAAACAGCTTAGATAAAACTTTGTCAACATAAATTAATGTAGTTTTAATACACAAATCTAGTTCTTTTAGTCACCACCAACTCACAGAAGCTTAACGGTATATTACTGGCTTTATCCAAACACACTGAGGCCTTTTTTCAGACTTGTTAGGATTGCTGAGCAGCTGGGAAAAGATCAACAGCAGTATGGTTCCTTCGTATCACAGGGTTCTGGTTCTTCTTCATTATAACAATAACAGTGAAGGAAATAATGGCAGCTATCATATTTTATATTTGGGGGGAAAATACACGAGGCAATATAGAAAGAAAAATACAACTTAATTATGAAGAAATTATTAAAATCAGGGGTTAATTCTTACTAAAACCTAATTTACTAAAATTAGGACTTTCTAGCTTTAGCTCATGCAGAAAAACATACGCTGTTCTCAGATGGTATCAGACTAATAATCCGAGTTAAAGACTGAAGTCAGATCCACTTGAAGGAAACCTTACAGCCTCTTCATTTCTATTTCGATCACCATATTATGAGGCGCAATTAAAATGCCATGATTTAAAAATCATGTTCAGACACTTCAGAGTGAGGATTATAGCAGTACTGCATCGTTTTCAAAATAAAGCAGCTGGAGTAGAAAGAAGATGGACTGTGACAGAGGAGCTGCACAGTTTATTTGGGTAAAGGAGCATTTTATCTTTAAGGTGAAACCTTTGCTTCACTGCTAAACTTCCACAGACAAAGACCGACTAAAACGATGACAGATTGTGAGGAAGCGACTCTCTGACCTGACAGGTTCTTGTGCCGCTGTTCTGTTCTCCTCTGAGGGGCACGGACTTTCACATATGCAGTGTAATGGCCGCCCCGCATTGAGCCGCTGTGTTCGACGATCCCATAGAGGCTGTACATGACGCGCCCGCCGGCAGCCAGGTTCTGCAGGTGAAGGTGGAGGAAAACAGAAAGTTTCCAAGATTAAATCTTAGCAAAGACACGGGAGACGGTAAACTTACAGGACTAAGATGGGAATCACGTCACTCATATGATAATGGAACATTATATTTATATGCATGAAAACCAGTGGAGCGCGCTGAATACACCATTTTTTTTTTTATTACAATAAAAACACAGCGGGGGGGTTAAATGTGGATTCACACCATTTGATTCAAAGTTAATATCAAGTTTCTAAAAGAACTCTAAAGGACAAAAAAATCTGCAACATACGTTTTTTTTTCTGGGTATTTATTTATTTTTTTTCAGTTTAACAACTTTAAAAGAGGCAGAAGAATCAAGCTGGGATTAGCAAACACTGGTAAACCTGCCCCTTTGGACAGATTTCAGTTTATGGTGAAGCCCTGTCTGTGCTCTAGTTGGATCAGATTGGATCCTATATACACAGAATATAAAATAAATAGTAGTTTTTTTTGCAGGTTACCTTAAATCGTTCCATAATTTTCCAGTTAGTGATATTATACACAATCTGGAATTTCTTTTTCATCAGATAACTAGTGTTAAAGGCCATAGTATGAGTTGTACCACAGATGGATGTGTGGTGGCGCTGCAATCATCATAACTGTCTGAGAGAGTGGAATAAACTTAAAGGAATACATTTATTTTATTGTATTCTGCTTTTTAAGTAGGCTTTTATTTTGTTACTTTTCCTATCTGTTTCAAACTTCCATCTTTTTTAAAACATAAACTTTCCTGGATTTTTTTTTTTTTTGAGCAGCCAAAACCAAAAACTGGCAAATGGGAACCTTTAACATACCTTTTTATTTTTATCCATTTGTGTTTTATTTGTATGAATACCTTGAGCTGGTAATTTAAAAGCATCTATAAAACTTTTAATGTGTAAGAAAATGTACATTGTTTTCCCAAATTCAATGAGTTTATGAACACCTCTGAAGTGATTCTAAATAAAACGATATCAATAAAATACAAACAATAAGTAAAAACAAATGGCTGAACTCAAAAGGATCTCGGATCTCTTTAATTATTCCTCATACGATGCTTGTTTTAGGGAGATTTTTTATCTTGATTTTAAAAAGACACAAAAAGAATAAAAAAACCCAGAAAACTAATCCAAAATAAATGTTTTTTGGACAAACCTCATCCGTAACTCACGTTAAAATAAAGTTGATAGATCTAAGTGAATTAAAAATAGATATTTTATTTTTGAACAATAGGGGGATGTCTGATAAATCTTGTGTTGTTACCATGCAGGATGCAGAGCAGAAGGGGGCCAGATCCAGGAGGAGAGGGAAGTCGACATGGCGGTTCACCTTCCGCAGGTTCATCCCTGCCTTTACAAATTCACAGAAAAAAACACAAAAACCAATCCAGCATTGAGATCCATACCACCACATAGCAACAGACTGAACAGGAGCTGTGAGGCCGTCTACCTGGTGGAAACGTTTCAGATGCAACGTGATCACAGGAGGCAGCAAGGATATCAGCATCTGTTTCCTGGCACTGGTGTAAATCTTCTCTACTTTCTTATCTATGAAGTAAAAAATAGAAATTTGATCAGAGGTTACATTGACTTTACTCCATCTATAAAAGATTCAAACTGAAATGGATTTTCAGATGTACTAAGTGTGAAAAACTGCTTTAAGCTGGATATCATAAAGGGGACGGTGGGTAAACAGGAAGTGAGTTTTTTTTAAGAATTTCAAATAAATTCAAACTTGGTCACATATGTTCAACCATATCAAACTATGCGACTCTGAACGCATTGATCAATAGATCAGATTAAAGGATGCTTTTGAAATTTTCAATTCAATTCAATTTCAATTCAGTTTATTTCTATAGCGCCAATTCACAACACGTCATCTCAAGGCACTTTACAGTTCAACCAGATCATACAGTCAGATTGATTAAAAGTTTCTATCTAAGGAAAACCAGTTGATTGCATCGACTCATTGACTTGAAGGCAATCCCTCACACTAAGCATGCTTGTAGCGACAGTAGAGAGGAAAAACTCCCTTTTAACAGGAAGTAACCCCCAGGAAGAACTGGGGTCATTCTTTACCTCTTTTCTCCATTTAGAACAGGGAACATCTAACTATTTGGTAAAAATGCACCATGATGTACATTAAAGTCATATCAGTTATCAGTATAGATTCCTGCGGTATGTGTGTGTATCTCTATATAATATACATATATATATAATATATATATATATATATATATATATATATATATATACACATACACACACATATATATATAAAAATCCTTTGTCATCTTTACTGTCAAAAGGCTGCAGCCATGTCCCAAATTCCTCGTTTTCCAGCCATTTTTGTTGAAATTAGCATTTTCCCATTCTCTGGCTTTTTCTCCTCCTTGAGCTTCTTTTCCAAACATACTGCTAAACAATCAGCCAGGCAAACATGCAGAACCAGTTATATCTGGTATAATATATCTGACGAAACTGTTTTTATAAATGTTTTTTTTTTTTTTTTCAAATAAAGCATTTTAAATGCCACAATAATCACATTTAATTAATTTTAATTCCAATTAAGGCCTTAATTTAAAAAATAATAATTTAATGATTTTTAATGAACTGCAGAAACCCTGATGTCTGAAAACAGAGTAAACTAATCTTAACCATTTCGGTGAGAGTGGTTGGACAAGTGAGTTGCAAGATAATCATGTCGATGAGATTATGCTTTTTTTTTTATAATAAAAGAACATTAAAGCAAATTAGATGCATCACAGCTTAATATTACAGCCTTCAACTGGCTATCAAACAGGTATAAAACTGGAAAACGAAGCTTTGCAATAGAATTAAATGGGGGAACTAATTCCAGATAGTATAATCATAGTATTTCTCTGTAGAAAAACAGCAAACTATGCTGGTAAAATCAGTGACCCTGCGCCATCGTCTCTCTTCTCAGTCCGCCCACTCTGCCGCTCCTGAATGCCGTCACGTATCCCGTCCCCACAACACAGAGAGTGACGATAAAAAGTAGCTCTGATTGAGGTGAAGTAGATTAAAACTAACTTAACGGCCCTAAAAATATAGAAGGTTCTGGTACATTAATGGTAAATATGATCTATTTATGTTTTTTGGTCTAATATCTAAAAAAAATCCTCTGATTTGTCTTTAAAAATGTCCAATTTAAAGACAATCTTTAAAGGCTGCAGTGTAACGCCCATCTGCAGACAGCCAGCGCTGACTGGCTCCTCGCCCTCCAAACATGATGCTGGGGCCCGGCTGCCTTGCCTCACCTGTGGAGCCACTTTTGCGTAGCTGCTTCTGCCTTCGCTCAGTGCAGTTCTCACAGAGAAGCTTGTTGTTGCCCATCAGCAGCTCCACTGACGTGAACTGGTGCAAGCAGGACTGGATGGAGCACTCCTTAGAGGAAGGAGTGTAACTGTGGGACAGAGCCTGGAACGCTCCCTGGTGATGAAGATGATGATCACGGCTTTGATTTTCTCCCTGCTCCTCCGGTGAGCAGTGAGTTGAAGCGTCCGTCGGAGAGAATCCCAGGTTGGCTTTGGAGACGGCGCTGACCAGCTGATCCACGGCGCCGCAGTGTTTCGCGGAAGCCAATGACGACGCAGGAGAGGAAGAAGAAACAGGGGTAGGCGAAGGAGTGAGGGTTGATGTGGGCGATGGAGTGGAGGTGTGACCATGACTGGAGACCCGCGGGGCCCACTCGCTCTCAGAGGCCTCGCTGTCTGCGTCGTTACTACTGTCCTGAGCGCTGGATTCTCTCTCGCTGCCGTCCGACAGGCTGCCTGCAGCCGCCATTTTGCACACAGACACTCCACGTGCTGATCCGCCGGCCGCCGCCGCCTCGTCCTCTGTCCGCTCAGCACCACAGGCTGCTCCCTTTTCCTCCACACAGCTGGAAGACCTCCTGTTGAGTTTTTTCTGTAAGTGAAACAAGACATCGGATTTAAAAAACACTGAAAGGGAGAACATCTTGGCTGCTGCTGCTTGTTCTGCACACCGTCCCCAGATACGCCCACTGCCGTCAGTGTAAGAGAGAGCAGTTCTTCAATGTTATGATGTTCAAAGCAAAGTGAGTTTTTCTATAAAAGCTTGGCAGAAAAATGCTAAATTGGGTCGGCTACAAGTTAAACAAAACTCCTGAATGAAAGGGAGCAGATAGAATGACCTGATGATCTTTGTTCCCCACACCTAAAGCAATACATTTACACAAATAACCTAAGTTATAAAATGAAACAACAACAACACAATAAGCATAAAATATACGTCTAAGAAATCCTAAAACTATTTGTTGATTGTAAAGCTCCAGAGAGACTGTTTGCTTCTGCCTCACCGCTCCGCTGAGCTTCCTGGAGTTCTTGTTGACGGAGTTCGCTGCAGACAGAAGCTGCTCATTGTGAGCCGCAACACTGTCCTGCTCCCGGCTGCTCTTCCCCAGACGACCAGGGTTTGAAGGTTTTGATATCTGATGAGGAGAAAAACTTAAAATAAAGTCTGTGAAAGCATGCAGAACAATAACTGTCAATGGTATTAAACAGCAAACACGTCTTTTAGATCCTATTTAGTGATCATTCTGCACATGCTCACCCTCTCCTCTATGATGGGTAGAGAGATGTCTATGAAGGCTTCCTTTACTGTTGAGATCTGAAAATAAAAGAACACAAAAACTCAGGTTTTAAAATCTGGGAGAATATTTTCTTCTTCGTCGTTAAAATGTTTGCATAATAATTTCTAATTTCAATAATAATCTCTATTTCAATTTGGAAAACAAGATGATTTCATGTCACTTAAATCTTCAAAATTTACTTTTACTACATTTAAACCAACAGAAACATTGGTACACGGTAGAATTCATAATAGTTGTTATGATATTGAGGACATGATTATGACACTTCCACCACCGTGCTTCATAGCTAGAACAAGGTTTGGTTTTTCTTCTTTACATTAATTGATCCAAAGACGATCCTTTCAAAAGTCCTGGGGTCCCATTTATCAAAGACAGAGTGGAATCTGTAATAAAATTGTTTGTATCCCCAAAAACAAAAAATGTAAATGATAAATATATTTCAGAGTAAATAAACCACATCCACATTTCCTCGATGGATAAAGGGTTGATTTACACTTTTATATCAATAGCAGTTAAAACCTGTTTTAAGTCGCCTGAAGAGGTTTTGGGAAAATTTTAGCATAGAGGTAGACTTTGCTGGTTGGTCACACTTTTAAATAAAGTAATTTTGTCTCAATAAGTACATTTTTTTCTTGAATAGAGGAAGTAAGTGAGACACTTTGCCGATAGAGCAAGACAATTTACATTTAAAATAAGAATTTTTTTTTTAATAATCCTATTTCAAATGCATATTATCTAATTATCTTGTTTTAAAAGTAAACATACTCCATCCATAGGAAAATCACCTTAATTACCTACTTAAATTAAGGGTAAATACACTTAATTTAAGAAATGTTGATTTTTTTTTCTAGATTGTTTTTGCAGTGTACATATTCACGTATCCTCCACTTTTAAACTATTTCCAATACAACTTAATTTAACTCCTTTAAAAACATATTTACAGCCCTGTAAGAATTCTGGCTTCACTTAAACTTTAAATATTATCAAAAGCAAACAAGACAGTCACTCTCTACAGGATACAGATGTTTAGATCAGCCTTAATACCATCATCAGTCCTAAATCACCGTGACTTCAAAAACAAAGCCAGGGCAGAATGTTGGTTCTTCTCTCCCACTTCTTTTAAATCAATTCAATTCTAAAATACTTAATGAACAGATTAAAGAAAACCTAAAAACTCAAATGTACACGTAAACAAATGGTTTAGTTTGATGCCCAATCTTCCCTCTCTTTTAAAATGTCCAATTCTTTAGTCTTTAAAAGCTGCAGAGTAACGCCAGTCTGCTAATAAAGAAGCCACCAACCTGATCCTGAACATATCTTTGTTTCATATCTTAGATCCTACTTCTCAAGCATGAATAGCTAAATGTGAATAGGTACAGATTATAGCTTTTCCAAAAGCTTAAAGGCGATTGTCTCAGCTGTTTCCAACATCCTGATGTTTCTGTTCTGTTGCCGTTATAAAATATCTGACAACATTCCTCCACCCAGAATCTCACCCATGAATAAATGAGATGTTTTCCACAGTTCAATCTCTTCTTGTTGCCTCCTTCCAGCTTCTTTCTAAAATATGCTGTACAATGCCCTTTTACAATCTGCAATCCTATGTCATTTTAACATTTTAAAATAAAGAATTCAACATAAGCGATAAAATCAAATTAACTCCAGCAAATCTAAATTAAACTTTTTAAATCTTCCTCAAATTCAAGTATCTGAACAAATGCTCATTTCGATCATATCATGACAAGTTTAAAACTCTAAAAATATATTTTGGACCATTTCCACATCAACTGAATGTTTTGTGAGAAAAAAAAAATCGGAATCATGTTTAATCCACAGCAATAATCTACTCTGTCAAACTGTTTTAAATTATAATCTTATTCAGTCTGTTGCAGGAAAAACCTACCAAGTTATTCCGCTCCTCTGTGGGATCTATTCTCAAATGACACGTTTATCAGAGCTGCTAATGAGGCCATTCTAGAGCTTCTATATCTGCACATATGGGAGATTCCAAGTGGGTTTTTTTTATCTTTAAAGGATAAAACGTTCAGTGATTTTATTTCAATATGACCAGCCCTCCTTAAGTGTCCCGAGCCAGTAAAGTTATCAATGACCCCTCACACTCCTAACCTGACTCCGCCAGATGGATTTGCTCTGCATATCCATCTGGAAACCTTCCGTTGAAGTAATTTTGGGAAGGGCCGAAAATACTGGTTAGCTGATTGGCCTATGTTGGTGATAGACGGGCCAAATAAACCAATCAGATCAACGAAGCATATGACGTACTAACAGAGCGACGACGAAAACACAACCACAAGCCAGGCTACTCTTGCCGAAACCAGTCGGGAGAAGAGCAAAAACATATTTTCCTCTGAGAAAATCCTCCAGAGCAGTGTTTTGCTCTTCTTTCAGTGAAGAAATACTCTGTAATTCTGATAAAACTTGCTCGATAGCCACGCTAACGCTAGTTTCATCGGCTGAAGCCGCCATGTTCTTTAGACTGAACTGTCGCGCTTCTCGTTGCGTCACACCTCAACCCGCCTCCAAGCGAACGCTGATTGGACGTTCGTTTGGTGAACGGCTCCAAATTTTCTTTAACGGAGAGTCTCCAGATTGATCTGCGAGTGAAACCTTGAAAGCTTGCGAGATCAGGATGGTCTCACGAGGCTAGCACACTCCCACCACGGACTGCTCTCCCTGCTGCCTTCTGGGAAGAGGCTTCGCAGTAGTGATGGGTTCAGCAACACCTGTGCGTCGAGCCCATAGAGCAAAACACTATATTGGTGTGTGTGTGTAATTTCAAAAAAGTCATGTGACTAACTCACTAAAAATATATATCTGAAAAAATAAAAATATATCTGTCAACATGATGCATCTGCTAAAAAAAAAAAAAAAAAAAAAAAAGTCTAAATTTTTGCAGTTTATCATTAAAATGATCAAGAATTTTGGAGCATTCTAAAAGAAATAGGAACAATTCAGCCGTTGCATATTTCTTTTAAAGCTACAGTGTGTAATTTTCAGCGACATCTAGCGGTCAGACTGCAGCAACATGAACGTCTCCCCCCCACCGCTTCTCCCCCCCAACAGTACGGCGAGCGTTACGGGACAAAATGTCTTCCACGACGTCCGCATCACCTACCTTCTCAAGTGATGAGGTTTGTTTACATAGATAATTTTACAGATAGTATTTCATTAGTCTGTGTAGGGTATAGATTTCATGTAGACTTAAGATAATAAATATACCCGTTATTTTTTCTACGTCGTTGTGACGTTTTGGTGAGCTGCTTTGCATGGTGATATAAACAGACGAAGTAATTGTAGTCATTAGTTTAACAGCGAGATTGTGTTCGCTGGAAGAATATATATTCCCCGTTTACAGAGTCCAAGTCTTGTTTGTGGCACGGGGGTTACAAGGCAAGGAAGAGGGAAAGGAAGAGGGCAGAGAGGTCGGGGTGAGCGTGCAGCTGGGGCCAGGCGAGAGAGGGGAGCCAGCGGGGTGAGAGCAGAGGAGGAAAGGCTTGAAGATCTCCAAAGGAGCCGGAGAGAAGTAACCGAGGTATATATCCAGAAAATTATTTTACAGAAAATTACTGAATCATTACCTGTGAAACGTCAGGGACGTTGCTGAATAAGTATACTGGAGAGTAACAGCATCATCACGCAGCATGTTATTGTTTTAGACAGGTCTGAGCATCCTGTACTCCAAAAACTGCAGTGATATTAGACAATTGTGTGTGTAGGATTAATTACCTGTCCAAGAGAAAACTGGCAACTTGAGCGTCAAAACCTTTTTCCTCCATCAGTGACTTCCATCGTGTAAATGCCGTGCCAATGTTGATCCGTGTTTTTTGCCGTTTCTTGTCACGCTTGCGTTTATTCTCGTCGTGTTTCCGCTTCTTTGATGACGGGGGTTCAGTGTCCGCCGCTTTTCGTTGTGATACAGAGTAGGCATGATCCTCCATTCGTCTGATGTTTGGCCACACAGTGCCAAACAGTTTGCAAAGTCACTCACGCCTGCCGCCTTGTTTACCTTTCTTGTTACCGAGGCGCAGTATACCTGCTTCTTCTTCTTCTTTGGTTTCAGGCAGACTAAACGCTTCTCAGGCATAATACTGCCATCTACTGTTCAGTACCGTCTCAGTTCATCTCTCTCAACTTGCCGTAGTTATTTTCGAGCGTCATGGGAGATCTCGCAATCGCTAGTTTGTTGCCTCTGCGCTGCCGTAGCGCAAAGATGTCAGCCTCCATGGCTGCGAGACCCGCTCCTATGTAATTATAAATAACGAATTCTAAGGCAACGCAAATGTTATGGTTAAAAGGCTGAGCTCATAGGTGATGATAAATAACATAGTTATGTATAATATATTAAATTTCTGAATTTATATGCCTGTAATTATTACACACTGTAGCTTTAATTTTCTGGTTGCTGTCAAACTTTTCCTCTCAGTTATCACTCAACTTATCTGAATTAAAATTTATTTCAAATTGGCTCTTAGTTTATTTACTGTTTACTAGTGTTTCACCGATACAGATGCCAGTATCGGGCGGGGCCCCGATCCAGCACTAAAATGGTGGTATCGGTATCGATGAGTACCAACAAATAGGGCACTGATACCATCTTGAGAGCCAAAAGTTTATTGAAATATTGTCACCCATTCCAGGTAAGCAATAAAAGTTCTCCTGGATTCACTTTGTATTAGTCCTTTTCCTGCTTCACAAAGGTAGGCAGCAGCTTGACAAAGACATTATGGTAATTATTTTACATCCAAGTAGTATGCAGTTCTTCATATATACACACACATCAATTTCAAAAAGATGGTATCGGTAAATACTGCACAGCCAGGTATCGGGGCAACACTAGTTTTTACGATGCTTGTTGTTTTAAAATTATGATTTAAAATCCAAGTCCACAAGCATCCTCATTCACATTTTCACGTAAATTATCACATTATGATAGGCTATATGTTTACATTATTTATTGGCTGCATCTAAAAATATTAAAGATATTTTCAATTTAAACATAGATATGGAATAATAAAATATAACCTACAATAACAAATTAAATCATTGTACTTGGCCATCAAATCAATTCAGTTTAGTCTGTCAAATTAGCTGCCTGTAGTGTCTTTAAATGTCCAGCAGGTGTCAGTATTCTGTGAGACAGTATCAATGCAGCATCAAGGCATTTTGCACCATGTTTTTCTCCCACGCTGTTTACATTTGATCCCTGCTGCACTTTATGGAATGGAAATGTTCATTTCACTGCTAAGCTGCTGCTCATTTACTGTCTGAAAGCTGTGCAAAACGAAACTCTGTTTTGTTAACACTTTGTGTCAAAAATGACAATAAAAGTTGTCTAAGACTTAAACTTTAGCTGTTAAATGTAGGATCATTCATGACTGAGAAGGAGCGTTCGTTTCTCTGCTCTTCTCTCTCTTCCTCCACACCTGGCACTCTCCTCCTGCAGGCATCCTCTTTATTTTTCACGGTGGCATTCCCTCTCCTTCTGTAAGTGCCTGCTGTAAACGGCTGGTATCAGAGCTGGTCCTTGAATGCTTTTTTGTGCAAGTTTTTCTTTGTTAATTTCTTTTCATTAACACCTCACGTATTTTGTTTACGTTTTTTCCCAATTAAATGATCAACATCTATTTATTCATTTTTCCATGTGTATATTAGTTTAGCAGGCGCAACACCTGGTAAAGAAGCTAATTACTTCTTTTTAAACAATCTTCACAGGAAAATATCTGAAACAAAACGAACCTAATGAGGAATGCCTGTGCAGCTGGAAAACCTTCAGCAACAATTTAAAACTACCAAACTAAACAATAACGACAGGAAAGAGTTTACGACAAACCCTGCAAAGTTTCTATACCAGAGGTCACGGATTAGCGGACCACGGTCCAGATCCGGACGCACCTGCTGGCTCATCCGGACCCAACCTGATTTAAACAATTTATACATTACAGCATGTTGTCTGACGACAGTGTCTAATTTCACTTGTGCTGCTTCTCCTGTTAATACGGTAAAGCCTTCCAGAGCGTCCAGGACCAGGCTACACGTGATACAAATGAGCCAATGAGCTGCTGTCAGTCTGGGTTGTTGCTGCTGCTGCTACTTTTAGACACAGCAGGCAAACCTGTGGCAAGCCGGGCGATAGGAAAGAAGGAGAAGATGATGAGAAAAAGAGAGCAGAGAAAGTGTGGACTGCTGAAAATGCTGCGGTGAAGTGGAAAAGTGTACTCAAAGATCACCCTGAACATTTTGAGTATGTTTGGCTCAACCTGCTGCTGTGAAGCAGGATTCTCCACCATGAACAGAATTGAAAATAAATGTGGATCCAGGCTCTAAATGAGCACCTTGATATGTGCTTTAGAATGGCTTTTATACTATTGCTGCTGTTTATTGCTTTTATTGTAATGTCTATAATTTATATTTATCTTATCACTGTTACCTGTCATGTCCCGCACTTTATGTGAGTCTGTAAATGTCAGTCTTGTATATTTCTTGTATATTTGTATATTTCTAGAGAGAAAACTTCATTTCCCTTGTATGTCTTGTACATATGAAGAAAGTGACAATAAAAGCTGACTTGACTTGATTTACACTACCCTTAAAAAACCGTGCCGAGCCCGGTCCGAGCCCAGTAACTGAGATAACTTATCGTGTGTAAATGGAAAGCAAACTGAACTGAACAATTTTCTTTTTTCTTCTTTTTTTTTTTTTATATATAAATTTTTATTTTAAAAAGTCAATGCATAAAATGGATACATAAACACCTCATTTTATTTCTGTTAAATTCTGTTTAAAGCAGGGGTGTCAAAGTGATTGCAGAAAGGGCCGTGTGGCTGCAGGTTTTCTTTTTAAACCAAGCAATAGCACACCAGACTCCTGTCATCTCACTGAGTGAGTCCAATCTGAACATGATGACTTGATGAGATGAACGCAGTCTGGTCTGCTACCTTTTGGTTGGAAAGAAAACCTGCAGCCACATAGCCCTTTCTGGAATCAGTTTGACACCCCTGGCTTAAAGTAACAGATTATAATTGAAAATGTCTCCGGACCTTTACTGGTTGATGATTTTCTTTATTCTGACCCTGCTGATATTTAATTGATTACTCCTGGTCTAAATAAATTATGGCTGCTTCTGTTCTGCTAAGCAAACTGAAAAGAAGTATCCTCCTATCCTCCGGTTTGGCTCTTTATTTTTTTTTTTACTTACATGCTCGCACTCTTCACACATTATTGTGTTGGTAAGCTCGCCTACGAAGATCCGGTCAACAAAGGTCATCTTCACACCTTCTTTGCCATATGCTGATAGAAACAAAGGAAAACATACAGTTTTAGTTAGCCTTTTTTTTATATAAGTCAGTTTGCCAAAATAATTTTCTCTAAAATGAACTTATCGACACAACAAAGACACCTGACTGGGATAAAGAAAGGATAAAATGTCTTGTATATACGGTAAATCAAGAACTAAGGAAGACGATGAGAACAGCAGAAATCTGTTCATTTATCAACCATCCTCTGACTCATATGCATTATCATTTACCACCACAAGGTGGAGCTATTGCTATGGACATCTGTGTTGAGCTGTTTGTTCAACCTTTGACTTGGCGCTTGGTCTCCTCATCAGCCGTCTTCTCTGTTGGATTGTTGAAAGCCTTTAAAATGGCTGCTTTCACCCTCTGCGGGGGGAAAAAAGAAGATGTTCAGGAATGTAAACAATGAGGAAAAACTGAATGGTAGGGTTCTTCTTCCTGTCTGGATCGACGCAGCGGTTGGGGGTTTAATTTTGTAGTTTTTTTTTTTAATTATTATTCATCCATTAGTGGAATATCAAAATCTCGCCTGCAGCTGAGTTTGACAGGTATACCAATTATAGGCATCATTAGTGCAAAATAATGATTGTGCTTGTCTATAAATGTTAACATGTAAATCTCCTAATGAACTGTGTGTGTGTGTGCAGGTTTTATGCAGGGGCCCCCCTCATCCAAGGTGACATGGTCAGTGAGTGTGTTGGTGAGAGAGCTGTGAAGAGGAGCAGCCACTGTAAAGCACCAATCAATAGATAATTGGCCGTAGTCTCTGTCTGAGTCATGACCGTTCAACCCCCATTGTCCCGGGACCAACGCACCCAAATGGCTATTTAGGTCAGAAAAAAAGGCCCCGTTAATCCCAGCCCGGCCAGCAAAGTCCAACCAGGATGTGGCTCGCCTGCTAATTAATTACCAGTAACCCCCATGATCTCTGTCCCTCCCCAAAGTAAAAGGGTGCACTGTCCCTGAGAGGATGGGGCGGAGGGAGGGGTGGTTTGGTCCGGGGGAGGGTTTGCTGGTACAGGGAAAAGGCAAAGATGAAGGAAAGAAGGCCGGATGATGCCCGAAGAGAGGAATACTTACCATCTCTGTTAATTGGTGATAACCGACCGCTTAAATTAGCATATTCAGATCTCTGATCCTAATGGGCCATCAACACAAACACTTAGGGCTATCTGAAGCTTCATGATGTTCAGGGGGGAAAGAAACAAAAAAACAAAAACAAAAAACACCTGACTCTTTCTGATCTGCGCACACAAAAAGTGTTTTTGTGTGTTTTATTATTTCCAAACCGAGGGTTTGATTCCACCTGTGATTAAATCCCTGTTGGTTTTGTAAAGAAACAAAATTCGCTTTCAGGAGGTTGGCTCTTCTTTAGAAAACAAAAAGGGATAAAACGTGTTCAGCTGAAAAAATTTCCACAATTAGAGGTAAAACGACACTGGATCTCTGCAGCAAAAATTAGTTTCTGTGCAGATGAATAGAAAAGCTCCCCCCCCCCCCCTCGTGCTTCGTTGATTGGATTGGTGGTGATTGTGTGTGTTTGTGTGTGCCGGAGGGGCTCTGGGTGACCCTCCAGCACAATGGAGCAGCCCTGGAGCTCATTCAGCAGCTGTGGATTTCCCAAGATCACACAATGATGCCGGTAGTGCCACTTGCAAGTCCCCTAAGTGGCACAACTGTTGGCGTTCACAAGTTTGAATGGAAGCAGGGGGAGCCCACCCTGTGGCCCCTCCTAGGCCCGAGGCGGACGGCTAAACACACCCGCTAAATTCTCCTCCTTGGTTCACGTAGTCACTGGTGGGCCCTCCAAAGAGCTGCTGTGGGGTCTCCTAATTGCTCTGTGGAGGAGTCGAGTAAGGGAGGGAGGGAGGGAGGGAGAGGGGGCTCTGTGTTTGCCAAAAAAGCAGAGCGGCCATCACCTTCACAGAGATATGTTTAATCACATCAGAAGAAAATCCAAATATTTCGAAATAATTAAAAATAAAATATTCTGCATTAAATCTCTCAGCTAAAGGTCGGATGTGTTTCACCAACTAATTAAATAGCATCTCCTTCAGGCCTGTACCACCTCTGCAGGAAAAGATACTCTACATCCTTCATCCAGCACAGAACTAAGTCTGAGCAGAGCTTTTTAAGAACTTCTAATTTCGGCAGTTTTTTGTGGTCTTTACTCTGAAAGACAGTCGGCATCAGCGTATGCAGATAAATGCAGGTTTTTAAACACTAGAGATTAGAAGTGTGCCAAACATTTTTCACTATTCTGCTGTAGGGAAAACGCAACATGTTCTTAGATAACAGTTTTTTAAAGGTGCCTGGTCGCATTCTGTCTGCATGTTTGTGTTATAATATGTTAATATACAATATATAGCAAGCACCTGTGGGGTAATTTTGGTACCATTTGTTGGCAAGCAAAGAACATGCATTTTACTTAGAAAAATAAAAAATGCAAACCAGAAATGAAACCTTAAAAACTGTTTTAAAAGATTTTAAGAGTTACTTTTGCTTTTTTTTCCAATCCTTTCCTTTTAATTTTTTAATTTTTCAATTTTATTTTTTTCAGATAGTTTTTAAAATGGCATTCTTTCATTTCTGCATTTTACAATGAATCTTCCCTTTGATTCTGGTGCTTTCCTCTGGAATGAGGAGCAAAGCTGTGTTTCTATTGGTGTGCGGACATAAGCAGCAAGATTATTGGTAACTGTGAGCATCAAGATCATTCGTTTATATTTGGCTTGAAGTAAAGAGACTTTGAGGTGAATTAAAATGTGAAAATAATGCAATTTTTAACATTCAATCTGGAAAAGAGAAATGAAAAAAATGTATGTCTAATGTAAAAAAAAATGTTTCTTTTAAAAAAACGAGTTTTGAAATATATAATATAAAAAAACTAAATAAATACATGGAAAATAAGCAAATAAAATCAGAAAAAAAAGAACAGATACTCTCAAAATCTTTTGTTTCATTTCTGGATTGCATTTCTTCCAAATTTCCATTTACAAAATGCAATCTTTGCTTGTAACAATAATGGAACAAAATTTACTCCATACATTCAGAATATCGATTTCTTAGTCCTTTTCAAGCCGATAAGATTTCGGCCTCACGATCAGCAGATTAACATCGTTGAACACCGTTGCCACCTGCTGGCAGTAACTTACTCAAGCATCCATCAGCTTGAAGCTTCCTTCCGTTTAGCTTCAATGAACATCAAAGTTCATTTTCTATTCTGGGCACCAATTCCCTGTTAGCCCCCTTGTCACCTGATATGTTTTGCACTACTTCCTCACTTGATCTTGGACTTCTATCTTTTTACACCTCCTCAGGGGAATTGCTGACTCGGTCTACTATTACTACGGCTTTGTTTTCTCATGGCATGCACACGCAGAGTTGTACCACGGCCCATTTGGTCTTGCTATGGTGAGAATACAAGGTCCTTGATCAGAAATTTGTGAACTCAGTAAGATTAGCAATGCCATGAAACATAAGCTGAGGAAACTACTGGCATCCTTATGTAATCAGTTACCATTTATATTTTGTTTTTGGCTGCAATACAACAGGCTGTCATTTTCAGGTGGTGAATTTATCTGAGGACACAACAAGTTAAATCCTAGGTGTTCTGCGAGGCTGTGGGCTACAACATAGGGGGAACCTTTGTCTAAATATCAAGGCTTTCACCCTGAACAAGAACTTTTCAAACATTTTGTTTGAAAACTGGTCCTGAATCTACAAATTGTTAACTTACTTTAGTTTCCTGTACTCTAATGGAGTCCAGTAGGTAGTGCAGAAGCTCCTGGCTGTCTTGTTGTTGGTATCCTTTAAAGCGTGGAGCTCTAAAAACAAAACAAAACAAACATAAGACAAATGAGAGACAAAAAGGAGCAGAGAAACAAAAAGGTTAGAAAGAAAAGAATAAAACATAAAAAAAAAACGTAAGTTATTGGCAGACAAGATAAACACCTAATCAGAAGAAAAAACACAATCTCTCATACAAAAAGCTGGAAAACAAGAGAACAAAGGGTGAAAAGGCAATTGTGTTTAGTGAAGGCCTTTTCACACCCTTCCCTAGCTGGAAACAGTTCACGGTTTACACAGGAACATAAGTTAAGTAAGGACAGACAATCCAACACAGGAGACATCAGAGAAGCTGCATAGATCAGCACAGCACTGGAGGAAGGACCTCAACAACAAAAATATGATTAAAATGTTGATATAGCAAACTTCAAGGTTTGATCATTAGATCCGGTCTTCATTTAGTGCTAAAACTGGTTAAAATCAACCAAACTAGTATTTCAAACCCATAACAGATTAAATGCACCATTTAGGGAAAACAGGAAAATAAATAAAAACACAATTATATGACCAACACTTAATATCTACCAGAATTGGGGCAACTGGAGTGGTTTTATTTAGATCGTAATTTATCAATATTCGTAAAACCCTGGAACTAAAACAAAGATCAAAAATTACAGCTGATGGAAATAAGCTTTATCTCAAAGGTTTCAGTGATTAAATGTGCATTTATTTAAAAATAGAGTTTTGATTTGACCTTTTCTATGATCATTTACCACATAGTTACATAGTTGGTCAAAAATACTGAGCTATAGACAAAGTAAGAAAGCAGAACAAAAGAGTTTTTAAGAACAGGGAAATAAATGAGGAAATGGTAGGACGACAACTGACCCATAGTCATAAAAACATCATCCTTGATTGAATAGTAAAAAAAAAAAAAAAAAAAAAAAAACATTTTTAGCAGCAACTGGAAAAATTAATTTAGGTCCATCCTTCATTACAGCATAGATTTGCTTGATTAACAACTCTGTTTGATCCAAGCGTTACCTCCACATCTCACAGAGGAGATCATTGGGTCTGGTAAGGTCTGCAAAATATGACCAGATGCTCACTACTATACCACCATATTGGTCAGTATCTCCAAAAATGTTGCTCATTAAACATATATACTTTGGTCTGGTGTGGCTGAAACGCCATCATATTTTCACTCAGATTTTAATCTGTCCCACACAAACATTTGTTCATAACTTTCAATATTATCAAATGTATATGCCAGTAGCTGACTCTGGTAGCATTTAAAGGTCTTTGGATAATATTAGGTTTTATTTCAATGTTTTTTTTCTTTGTCTCTGCTCTGCAGATTTCTCGCCAGCCTATTTCAGCGAAATCAGCCTCTAAGCTAAGTAAACACTAACTGCAGAGTTCTCACTAGCCTATTTCAGTGAAACGAGCCTCTAAGCTAAGTAAACACTAACTACAGAGTATTCGCTTGCCTATTTCAGCGTAACGAGTCTCTAAGCTAAGTAAACACTAACTGCAGAGTTCTCGCTAGCCTACTTCAGCGTAACGAGTCTCTAGGCTAAGTAAACACCAACTGCAGAGTTCTTGCTAGCCTATTTCAGCGTAACGAGCCTCTACGCTAGGTAAACACCAACTCCAGAGTTCTTGCTAGCCTATTTCAGCGAAACAAGCCTCTAAGCTAAGTAAACACTAACTGCAGAGTTCTCGCTAGTCTATTTCAGCTTAACGAGCCTCTACGCTAGGTAAACACTAACTCCAGAGTTCTTGCTAGCCTATTTCAGCGAAACAAGCCTCTAAGCTAAGTAAACACTAACTGCAGAGTTCTCGCTAGCCTATTTCAGCATGACGAGCCTCTACGCTAGGTAAACACTAACTGCAGAGTTCTCTCTAGCCTATTTCGGCATAACGATCCTCTAAGCTAGGTAAACACTAACTGCAGAGTTCTCGCTAGCCTATTTAAGCCTAAAGAGCCTCTAAACTAAGTAAACACTAACTGCAGAGTTCTCGCTAGCCTATTTCGGCATAACGATCCTCTAAGCTAGGTAAACACTAACTGCAGAGTTCTCGCTAGCCTATTTAAGCCTAAAGAGCCTCTAAACTAAGTAAACACTAAATGCAGAGTTCTCAATAGCCTATTTCAGTGTAACGAGTCTCTAAGCTAAGTAAACACTATCTGCAGAGTTCTCACTAGCCTATTTCAGCGTAACGAGTCTCTAAGCTAAGTAAACACTATCTGCAGAGTTCTCGCTATCCTATTTCAGTGTAACAAGTCTCTAAGCTAAGTAATACGCTTGCTGTTTCTGAATGTCCACCCTAATCACTATATAGGGAACTATATGGTGGTTACGCCATTTTAGGTGAGTGTCCGAATGTATAGTTGGTTCAAAAACGAGTGGATTTGAAATTTCGCAAAATTCGCCTAAAAAAGTAATGAATACTGAATATTAATAAGCGTAATGGACATGGAAACAGCATTCTCCAACACATTTACCTCATTTGTACACATATGTGAAGAAAGCTCTGAAAAAATGAGCCCCATTAGCAGACAGAGAGCCAGGTTTAAAAAGAGGGGTGAAGTGACCTAACCTAGCAGATTGATACATGTAGTTTAATTTGAATTCTACACAGTACACATCTGGAAAGGCTCCCATGCAAAGTGCTTGCAAAAGGGAGGGACATTCAGTACATTTCTTCTAGCTGGTTAGGTAAATCACCAAACGGCACCTGCCTCCATGTTGAGCTTTTAGCCAATCGTAGAAGCAGCTAGGATGCATCACATTCTTGATTTGTTTCACAGCTAGTGGAGTAAACTAATAAATAAATCTGGTCGGGAGGAATGAACAAATCTCTTTCCCATCCACAAAAGGCACAGTTCAAGTCCTTTTGCCCAAAAATGAGATAGAGCGTATTCCAGCTAAAACTGGCGCAGTCATGTTTGTGTTTCTTGAGGCAGCCACTTGTCACTGACATCATATCCATTTATACATTTCTGTATTTGAGGCTAAAAGTGTCTGTTGGCTTTTGGCCGGATCGATTTTCACAAATCTCATGACAATTAATCTTGCTTGCAAGGTGAGAAGTGACCAGGTTCAGAGGGATTCCCAACCGGCCGGTCTGCCAAGCTGATGGTCAGAGCGTTGTTTTTCTTTTTATCCTAATAAAATGCAGCATTACCATGGCTGCAGGTGGATCAGAGCAACCTCTCTGGGTCAATCTGAGAGTTCAGATATTAAGGGGAGTTAAGCAGAACTAAAGAAAAAAAGAGTGGACTTTATTAGCAAGGAGACAAAGAACGGACGATATAGGTGTAGCATAGCCTAAAAAACCTAATTCTGTTTATCAACCTCAGAAAACACAGTTGTTTCAATTATGGGAAAGTCTTTGCATAAAGAAAGGAGTACAGTAAGGCGTCCTTATTGTATCGTAAAGAGAGGCGCGGGCGGGGGGTATTTCTTTGACACTTTAGTTTCAAAGCTAAAGACAAACTCCAACAGGGCGATTAATGCAAAGGGAACTAGAGGGGAGGCTCTCCTTGGGTTCCTCTCTGGCTGTCCACGCTGAAGCAGATGTGTGGACAGATGCCAGGGGCAGATGGCTGGCCAAGACCAGAGCCATGGCAACCTGTTGGGCTGAGCCGCCACATCACCAAGGACAGGTTGGTCAGGCCAGCATAGCACAGGAGGAGGCTTTTTGATAAGAGATGCCATCATACAAATGCTTGGTCGCTTAATTAGTGCAGAACGTCCATTTCCCCACAGTTTTAGATGAACTAAAACACCTAAAAAAAAGGAAACACTTTTTACCTTTTACCTTTAAAATTTTAATATCAGGGTATAATCTAACTAATAAGAGAAGTACAAAGATGCATTATGTACTTTTTCTTCGAGATAATTTGGAAACATAAATGTTTCCTTGATTTCAGTAAAATTGGAGGAAATGTCCAATTACGTGAAAGAAAAAGTCAACATTATTTGTAGAAAGCTTGGAGAAAACTAACATCATGAAACAATTCCTAAATCTTGAGTCACTTTATGCAGGAACATGAAGGTCGCCGATGGACAGATAGGATGAATTAAAGCTGATAAGGAGGTAACAGCTTGGTCCAAAGGAGGATAAGAAAAAAAAAAAAAACATAATTCACGTCAAACAGGAACAACGGGGAGGGGAAAAAATAAGAATGAATGAGAGTCAGAGGAAATGAGAAGCATTGTTGGGATCAGTGGGAATGAGGAGGTCTGGAAGCTCATCCCAGTGGAGGGAAGCAGAAGGGCCCTGTAGCGCTGCTCTCAATCTGGCCAATGCAAACAGCTGCGGTGCTAACACAATTAATAGCCGGATGAGTTAGTACCAGACGCAAGGCCACACAACAACCCCCCACCCCCCTACATATACTAGTATGAGCAACACAATGACACACACTTCACATAATACAGTAATCCTTCACTCACAAACAACAAGGTTATTCTTAGATGCGTCTGAAAGGTCTAGAAAATGATCAGAACCTGCTTAGAGCAGTAAAAAAAAAAAAAATCATTAAAGAAATGGTTTATACTTAGCGCCAAAGAGCCACATAAAACCACAGGGGGCTTGATACATGCCATGTTATTTCATACAAAAAATAAAAACATGTTTTGAACTAGTGATGCTTAAATTTTCCCTTTATCACACATTTTTAATAAAATTTAATGCTTAAATAGTTATTTCATTTAATGATTTATTTATTCTGAACATGTTTAAATACAGTAAGTTTGTAAGCAAATTTTTAAGGGGTTGTTCAAAAACAATGTGTTAGAAATATGTTAAAAGGTTGAAAATTGTGAACGACCCCTTAATCTAACTTAACAGTAAATTAGTACTTTTTAAATTTTGACATCAATAAATCTAAATTGGGAGTTATTTTATGCAAAATGCCATCTTATAAATTAGTAAATTATTCTTCACTGGGTAGTTTTTATTCGATTTGAGTTGTATGTCATCTGACTAATAAGAGAAAATTAGACTGAATCTGTGATTTTTTTTT